AATGCACAGTGCAAAACCAAAAAACAGGTCAATGCACGGTGCAAAAAATTGGAGTCTTTTGCGCACAGTGCGCGCTGCGACAAATTTACAGGCACTTTGTGAAAATGCTAATATAATAGTACCACTAGTCGTCCTAGGAAGTGCGCAGACGTTTCTTTCGCGGCGCACAGCGCGGAATTTTGCGAAGAAAGGTCCACGCACTTTCTGCAACTCCTCGAAACATCCCTTTAACACCTGGCCGCCGGATTCCGGGAACTTACCGACCAGGATCAGCCCACAGGGAAAGTACACCACGTGCGACGCTCAGAATTTGATGAAACTTGGCACAAATTTAAAATATTTTTTTCTAAAATATATGCGATTTTCCTAGCTCGCACTTGGCAGAAACTACCGAGATTTTTAGACCAACAGTCGGCAAAAATTTTAGACTTTTTGCCGAATTTCAGCACGAAAAGTTTCACACCTATTTCTAATATAGAGGGTAAGGTTTCCACAAAAAATCATCTTTTTCCGCGCGAAACTAGCGAAGTTATAGCCAAAATGTGCTTTTCTCTCTGACCGCTCTCCACGTTTAGTGTGCTCTCTCGGCGACAAAAATCGTTCAATATCTCGGTGGCGCCCGCAAAACGTGAGGCAAAACATTCAGGAATCGATATCTAATCTATGGCCGACGTGTGCGCAAAATTTGAAAAAAAAATCCGAGCGTGACACCTGGGGGTACTTCCCCTGCCTGATTTCCCATTTTCGGGAAATCAATACACGTTTCAAACAACAGAACACCGATAAAAAATGGCGCTTTTACGGCCGAACAAAGGATAAACAACCCTCACCAACCCAACTGTTCTTCCTGGCCCTATTCCCCTCCTACTATGAATCCTACCCTTCTACGATGTCTCCTAGGTCGAAAATGCCCAATGTCCCAGAGGATAGAAGTAATTCGGTCGTCGACCCGACCTGTCTCGACCCGACTTGTCCCTGACCGAAACGCCGTAGCGCTCTCACTTCCAGACTAAACCATCGATCTCTAATAAGATATACGCTCTCTACCGGCCCAGTAATAAGAATTTCGTCCTAGGCTGCCCACCTACAGAATCAGCCCAATTCCGATTACTTACTTTCTCCGCCCTTTTCTCCCATTTCCCCTTCCCCTTTCAAAACAAGCAAGATAAAATAAAAAAAGAAACAAATAGGTCAAGTTAAAATCGTAGATTCTTCTTCTTCTCGGCTGGAAAGTTGCCTGGACAGGTTTAATGGGACTTGAAGGAATCTGTAAGAAAATGGAGATTAGAAGACTAAAAAATCAAAAAAAAGTTCAACAATCTCATGAGCACAGACCAAAATTAGGCAGCTAACTTTTACATATTCTGAATCAGAAAAATTTTGCAATTTTTTTGGTATAGACCTGTAACTCCATACCCCATAGAATACTTTCCTTGTGAGATCAGTTTAATAACCGCCACTTACTTTTGAATCTTTTTGCATTGTGCAGACTAAACGATGATGATTTTGTTCGTGGCATCCACCGCTCCAAACTCAAATTTCTTCAGGCTTATACCACTTCCCATTCATATACAAACTTGGACGGGCGACCTGGAAGCAATGTTTTACTACAAATGGGAAAATTTGAAAACGAAATTTAACTATCAACAACATAAAGCCCCTAAAAATCTTTCATAATCAAGTCCTTTACCACTAAATCAGACAATTCATGGAGCAAAAAGTGCCTCTATCAACTTTTACCCTCAAAACGATCAAATATTACGCCAGAGAGCTATAAAATCCGTCCTAACGTAGAATTTGGCAATCTACAGGGTGGTTCAGATGAAGCGTCCATCCGTATTTCAAGTATTTCTCCGTCAATGAAGCACCAATTTCTATAAAACTTACACCAAATTGAAGCTGAGGTACCCCATTTTTTGTCCACCAAATATGACGGGCCCAAGTTCAAGGAGGCTCCCGTACTGACCCTTGACATTTTCATTCCAAATTTTGGAGCCCGAAATCGGTGAAACTTGGAAAATTTTTGCAATGATTTTCAATTGAGTTCTCGGACTTGGAAAATATTCGAGTCTTTGGCTAAATAGGACATTTACAGTGAGGGACCGGATCCAATGGCAAAAAACGTCTCACTTTGCATCCCGGAAGGGACCAAACTGACTCCAAATCCTTCCCTTCTCTAAGCTAAAAACCTCCGCTTTGAAAAGCGCGCCCTTTCCTTCAATAAGAGAGCGCTAGCTCCCATTCCTTCCAACAATATTCGCAATCAAAAAGCGCGCGCTTTTTTCTTTTCTCGCATTCTCCTTCTCCGGGAAAAAAACAAAAAAATTCGGCAAATACAGAAGGCCAAAAGAAAGAGAGAAGCGCAAAAGGCGCGCGCTTTTTGATTGCGAATATTGTTGGAAGGAATGGGAGCTAGCGCTCTCTTATTGAAGGAAAGGGCGCGCTTTTCAAAGCGGAGGTTTTTAGCTTAGAGAAGGGAAGGATTTGGAGTCAGTTTGGTCCCTTCCGGGATGCAAAGTGAGACGTTTTTTGCCATTGGATCCGGTCCCTCACTGTAGAAGTAGCTGAAAAAATTGACGGTGAGGTACCTCATCTTCCGGCCACCTAGTACTTTCTGATTCCGGCAAAAAAAAGTCGCTTAATTCGACAAAAAATTTTTGAACAAGTAAGGTTCACAGAAGTACCAAGTCCCTAAAAAACATACAGGGTGTCCAGAGAAATTCCGCGGAAAGTGTTTGCCGATTTCTCGGCGCTTAGGCAAGATATCCAAAAAAATCTTTTTGCATTAGAAAGAAGACTATGGGCGGTTTTTTGTCTAAAAAAGTTTTTTTGTCCGCCAACGCGGAACATACTGTATTCGGCGGAGACTTTTGGTAGCTTTTTTGGTCATCACACCAATCTTAAGCGCTTTACTATGATCCTAAAACTATCGGGAAGCCTTCAGTTTTTTCCACAGAGGATCAGGGGACCGACGACAACGCTATGCAATCGCATTTAGCGACTGCACCGCACTGTGTAGTTGCGTCAACAGCGATGAAGTCCGACCGCATCGTGCGGAGGTTTGAAACAGCGGGGCAAAGAGAAGTTCAAACAAAAAATATTTTGTTGTTTTCTGGTGCACCAAGTCGTTTACTGATGGCTAAGCTGCTGCCAAGGCTTGGCGACAAAATTTTGGAGGGCATATGGGATCAGCAAAGAATGCTAGCCACATAATGTTTGGGACATCTCCACTGTTCCTTGCCTGCGGTCAACTTTTTCTGCTACTTATAAAAGTTTCATTTAGCGAGAGACTCAAATATTTCCCAAGTCCGAGAACTCAACTGAAAATCATTGCAAAAAATTTCCAGGTTTCACCGATTTCGGGCTCCAAAATTTGGAATGAAAATGTCAGGGGTCAGTACGGGAGCCTCCTTGAGCTTGGGCCCGTCATATTTGGTGGACAGAAAATGGGGTATGTCAGCTTCAATTTGATATAAATTTTATAGAAATTGGTGCATTACTGGCGGAGAAATACTTAAAATAAGGATGGAAGCTTCGGCTGAACCATCCTGTACATCTTTCAAACCCACATTAAAACGGATTTCCAGCCTATGGATCTACCAAAGTCACCCTCTATTAACGAAGCTGCACTTACCCCAAAACTAATTGAACTGTTCCTGTTCAAACAAGCCGCCCGTTCCATGGAAGGCATGTTTCGGCAGAGTGACTTGTTCCTTGTTTCCGATCACTCCAGCTTTCTTGTCGACCATAAGGCATCCATCAAGGATGAAGACCATTCTGAAAGAACAACGTATTAAAAAGCGAAAAACTGGAACAATATAAACCTAATGAACAATATAAAAATTTCAAAATACCGCCATTACAACATGTCTAATGGCACTAGTCATTAGTCACCATAAAATTGCTTCTACAGCCCTCAGCAGATTTTATTTCCCTCAAATACCCTAAAAAAACAAACAAAATCAAAATCAGCCTAACAGGGGAATACGTGCGACGCCCAGATTTTAATGAAACTTGGCATAAATTTAGAATATTTTTTTTCTAAAATATATGCGAGTTTCCTGGCTCGCGCTTTGCAGAAACAACCGAAATTTTTTAGATCGAAAGTCGGCGAAAATTTTGACACTTTTTGCCGAATTTCGGCACGAAAAGTTTCATGCCGATTTCTACGATAAAGGGACATTACCCTTTCTAAAGTTTCCAAAAAAATAAATTTTTTCCAAAAAAATAAATTTCTTCCAAAAAAATAAATTTTTTTCCGCGCGAAACAAGCGAAGTTACGGCCAAAAAGATTGTTTTCCTCTTTGACCGCTCTCCATGTTTAGTGTGCTCTCTCGGCGGCAAAAAGCGTTCAATATCTCGGTGGCGCCCGCAAAGCGCGAGCTAAAACTTTCAGGAATTGACATTTAGTCCATACCCGACATGTGTGCCAAATTTAAAGAAAATCTGAGCGTCGCACTTGGAGTACTTCCCTTGTAAGCTCTTTTTCACTTAAAATGCTCGCAGTATCCCTTCTAGATCTCGGTCCCCTAATTTATCACTCCCAATCGACATACCTTTCTGATCTTTCCGCGGTGGGGACCTCCAGGGCACCATTGATTTCTCCAACTTCTCCAGGGCTCCAAGAAACGGATTCTCGATGATTTCCATGAAAATAGATACGATTAAAAGTAGAACGAGTAGTATCTGGACTTATAACAAGAAATGAAGGCCTACAATTGGGAAAAAAACAACTTACTTTAATCACCAAAGCAGGCTTTGATGATTGGGTGAAGGGGAGGGAGTGGGAGGGGAAAGGGAAAGGGAAAGGGAAAGGGAAAGGGAAAGGGAAAGGGAAAGGGAAAGGGAAAGGGAAAGGGAAAGGGAAAGGCGGGTGGTGGGAGTGGTAGAAGAAGGCGAGTAATGGAAGTGGTGGGAGTGGAAGCGATGAGGCTTCTTCTTTTATTTTTTTGCTTCCTTTTTTCTTTTTTTTATTTTCTTTTTCTTTTTTTTTTATTTTTTCATTTTTTTTTCTTTTTTAAAGCTATCCGTTGCATGGGGCTTGGAGATCTCTGCAAATTAAAAGAATAAATTCAAGAACCCTCAAAAAGAATTGACAATAATCTCAAGCTATCCGTAATTTCCCCCAACTACCAATAAACCACGAAACTTACATTCTGAAGAGAGTGTGATGGGGGAGGAGTGAGGTGGGAGTGGAATGGAGGAGGGGTGCGGTGCGAGTGGGAGGGAAGGATGAGTGTTGCAAATGGAACGGGGAATGTGGCGTAAATGAAGGTGATGTTTATGTTTCTGAAAATATACACCATATAGTTTGAGAAAAAACCAGGCTAAGACCAAGGGTGAAACAACAACTTACATAGCGAAAAATGGGTGGTAAACATTTGGGGTAGGGCAGTAAAATCTTGGAGCAACATCTGAAAATAAAATAATCAATACATTCTGAAGAGAGTGTGATGGGGGAGGAGTGTGGTGGGAGTGGGAGGGGAGGATGGGTGTTACGAATGGAACGGGGAATGTGGCGTAGGTGAAGGTGATGTCGACTTTTTTTTTAACTTTAGGTTTCTGAAAATACAGACCTTAGTTTGAGAAAAAACCAGGCTAAAACCAAGGGTGAAACAACAACTTACATAGTAAAAAATGGGTAGTAAACATTTGGGGTAGGGCAGTAAAATCTTGGAGCAACATCTGAAAATAAAATAATCAATTGAAGAACCACCAAAAAAACAAGCGACAACAATCCGAACAGTTCCCTAATATCCTCAACTACAAAAAAAACCATCAAAACTTACTTTCCATGTTGTTTCTGTCGTTGGTTAGGGTCTCGGCCATGTAGGTGCCGTCCTGGGCCGGAATTGGGACATTGAAAGTAGGGTCGGGAAATGTGTTCCAAAGATTCACTGATTCGAGAGATGGGTTTCTGAAAAAATAGATCATTAATTTAAGAAAAATCCAGGAAAAATTCAAGAATGAAATAACAACTTACATTGACACAAATGGATGGTAAACTATTACGAAATCTAACATTACAAGAAAAAAATAAGAGTCACTTTTAAAAAATAATTTTTTTCTATTTTTCTATTTTTTCTTTTTTTTGTTTCTTTTTTTCGTTTTTTTATTTTTTTCTTATTTTTTCATTTTTTTTTCTTTTTTTTTTTATTTTTTTCTTTTTATTTTTTTTTTATTTTTCCATTTTTTTTTTCTTTTTAAAGGTATCCGCTGCATGGGGCTTGGAGATCTCTGCAAATAAAAAGAATAAATTGAAGAACCCTCAAAAAAGAATTGACAATAATCTCAAGCCATTTGTGCAGTGAGGGACCGGATCCAATGGCAAAAAACGTCTCATTTTGCATCCCGAAAGGCACCAAAATGTCTCCAAACCCTTAACTTCTCTAAGCTAAAAAACCCCGCTTTGAAGAGCCTGCCTTGAAGGAAAGGGCGCGCTTTTCAAAGCGGAGTTTTTTAGCTTAGAGAAGGCAATGGTTTGGGGTCACTTTGGTCCCTTCCGGGATGCAAAAGGAGACGTTTTTTGCCATTGGATCAGGTCCCTCACTATAATTTCCTCAACTACCAATAAACCACGAAACTTACATTCTGAAGAGAGTGTGATGGGAGAGGATTGTGGTGCGAGTGGAATGGAGGAGGAGTGCGGTGCGAGTGGGAGGGAAGGATGGGTGTTGCAAATGGAACGGGGAATGTGGCGTAAATGAAGGTGATGTTTAGGTGTCTGAAACTATACACCATATAGTTTGAAACAAAACCAGCCTAAAACCAAGGGTGAAACAACAACTTACATAGTAAAAAATGGGTGGTAAACATTATGGATACGGCAGTGAAATCTTGGAGCAATATCTGAAAATAAAATAATCAATTGAGGAACAACCAAAAAAACAAGCGACAACAATCCGAACAGTTCCCTAATATCCTCAACCAGAGATTGCCACGGTCAAAATTTCGGCTCCGGCTCCCATTAAAAATTTAAAAAGGTCTCCGGCTCCAAATTTCGGCTACCGATTTTTAAAAAAATACATTTCCAAAAATAGAAGTTATTAGTGCCAGAGATCATACACCCAAGGTTTTTGCAGCCGAGTCGTATGCAACACACCCTTCCCAGTATTTTTCAAGCAATTTGGTTTAACAAGATCACGAAATTTTTACTTTTCTGAACGCTGAGAAGCCTGGCTTCGACTTTGGGCTCGGGAGCCGACCCCAAAATTTCCGGCTCCGGCTCTGACTCCCGGCTCGGAGCCGGAGCCAAGAGCCGGCTCCGAAGCCGTGGCAATCTCTGTCCTCAACTACAAAAAACCATCAAAACTTACATTCCATGTTGTGTAAATCGTTGGTTAGGGTCTCGGCCATGTAGGTGCCGCCCTGGGCCGGAATTGGGACATTGAAAGTAGGGTCGGGAAATGTGTTCCAAAGATTCACTGATTCGAGAGATGGGTTTCTGAAAAAATAGATCATTAATTTAAGAAAAATCCAGGATAAATTCAAGAATGAAATAACAACTTACATTGATATAAATAGGCGGTAAACTATTAGGCGAGTAAAATTAGAAGAGAAGAAGAGAGAAGAAGGATACGGGATACTTAAAAAATTTTTTTTTTCTTTTTTTTATATTTTTTTTCTTTTTTTCCTTTTTTTATTTTTTTTTCTTTTTTTTATATTTTTTTTCTTTTTTTTCCTTTTTTTTTATTTTTTTTTATTTTTTTTTTTTTTTATTTTACATCCGAAAAGCAGTGAAGAAATCTTGGAGCAATATCTGAAAGTACAGTGATCAATTGAAGAACCACAAAAAAACAAGTGACAACAATCCGAACAGTTCCCTAATATCCTCAACTACAAAAAAACCATCAAAACTTACATTCCATGTTGTGTAAATCGTTGGTTTGGATTTCGGCCATGTAGGTGCCGTCCTGGGCCGGGAGTGACGTTGTTAAATTGGTGCAGTTTTCGAAGGATCCATTGCTTTCCGGGGTCATTTTCTGCAAAGATGAATCATATAATTTGAGATTAAAGACTACGCTAAAACAAGTATAAACCGATAACTTACATGTTAAAAAATCGTGATAAATTAAATACAAATATTATACAATAGATGAGACAAATACAATAGATACAATAGACAATAGAAATTAAATACAAATGCAATAGATAAATACAATAGATAAGGGGTCAAAATTAAATACAATAGATGAGGGGTCAAAATTAAATATAATACAATAGATGAGGGGGCAAAATTAAATACAGTAGATAAGGGGTCAAAATTAAATACAATAGATGAGGGGTCAAAATTAAATACAGTAGATAAGGGGTCAAAATTAAATACAATAGATGAGGGGTCAAAATAAATACAATAGATGAGGGGTCAAAATTAAATATAATACAATAGATGAGGGGGCAAAATTAAATACAGTAGATAAGGGGTCAAAATTAAATACAATAGATGAGGGGTCAAAATTAAATACAGTAGATAAGGGGTCAAAATTAAATACAATAGATGAGGGGTCAAAATAAATACAATAGATGAGGGGTCAAAATTAAATATAATACAATAGATGAGGGGGCAAAATTAAATACAATAGATGAGGGGTCAAAATTAAATACAGTAGATAAGGGGTCAAAATTAAATACAATAGATGAGGGGTCAAAATAAATACAATAGATGAGGGGTCAAAATTAAATATAATACAATAGATGAGGGGGCAAAATTAAATACAATAGATGAGGGGTCAATTAAAAAAGCTTTTTTATTTATTTTTTTCATTTTTTACTTTTTTTATTTTTTTCTATTTTTTTTGGCCTTCTCAATTTTTTTGGCTCTTCTTTTTTGTTATTTTTTTTTGGCCTTTTCAATTTTTTTTTTGGCTCTTCTTTTTTTTTGCCTTTTAATTATTTTTTTCTCTGTCATCCTTTCGGTGGTGGGTATCGAGAGAGGATCTCTGAAAAATAAAAAATTAACACGTAAAAACACCAGTGACAGCACTATAAAAATATCTCTAAACACCTTGACAAAGGTGGTCAGTGCTTCCTAAAGCGTATCTGTCCCGGATAATCATCCGAAAGCCGGCTCACATCAACCACAAACAGAATGCCAAGATTTTTGGCATTCGGTTTTTTAAGGAGCTCTAATGTTTTAGCTGACTGTGCAGTGGGTAATGCACAAAATAACATGAACCTGCGATTAAAATATTGCCAAGGCCTCATAATTTTTAAATTAGTAGATCTTGGCGCCTTTGGGCCACCGGGTTCGCGGAAAAACGCCGGAGAAAATCGAATTTTTGCGAACTTTGCGGCCCAATAACTTGTCTAAAACTATTGAAACATGAAAAGCGATTGCAACGATCTTCAGAATATCGTATTCTAAGATAGCATTCAAAGTTTGAAGCAAATCGGTCTAATAATAAAAAAGTAGATTCGGTTTTAAATTTTTTACCTTATGGATCATATTACTTTATTCAAGTTTTAATGTCCGACAGCGTTAAATAGTCAAATAAATGATCCATATTATCTCATAACAATGGAGAATAATTGCAAAAATTTCAACTCCCATGCCGAGAAAAAAGGTTTACCTTATACATAGTAGCATACCTTATCTTATGAAAAAATAACAGAAGTTTAAGCCTGATCAAAACTATCTATGTGAATTGAGATTGCTTTCTAAGGCTACGCTCAACTTTTGGAGCTGGTTTCAACCTTGCTGCGCCGATTTCAAAAATGGTCACTATCACCTAAAGCAACGTTCTCACAACAGCTTCCAAAATGTCGCGGATGCCAGAAATTATGCTCTTACTGACTTTTTAGATCAAAGTGGACCTAGCTGAGTTAAAATCTACCGATTTTTAAAATATTATTTTATTCACCTAAATATCAGTTTTTTTTTGGAATTTTGAGTGAGTAAGCTAGTATAGGACATAGGGTTCCTTATTGTTCTCCAAAACTACTCTAATTATGCTCATAGGAAAAAGGTAATTGCTTCGTTACGAAACGATTTAGTAGCAAAGATATCTAAAATAAGGTTTTCAAATCTACTATTTTTTGGTCAGTCCGGCTCGTTTCTAATTCTTTGTTTGAGCTACCCTTGGGCATCCAACAAAGTGTTGCAAACAGTTTTCCCGATTTGAAACTTTTTTTTTCTGGTTGATGTGCGTTGTAAGTTTAGGCTTCAAACAGATAGAAGACGACCGATTTTTTCCTATGAAACATATATGGTGAGGTTAAGCAGAAGTCCAGCTTCAAATTTATGTATGCAATAAACCCATTCTACACCCATCTTCCATGTGTAATCAGGTTACCTTTGGAGCAAAAACTTATCTTTCAGCTAAAACAGAATGCCAAGAATTTCCCATTGCTTGAGCGCTCTTGTTCTAGGTTTTCTTGACGTGCAGCTACTATAACATCCCGAAACTAAACCCCGTGATCAAAAAAAACGTAAAACATTGGCTGATGGAACTTACTGCTTCCATTTTTCCTTTCCAATAGCCATAGAACGATTCAAGCGTCGGATTAGCAGTTGGGCCCACTGGGCCACCTTCGTCCAGGAAAATTCGGCGTACATTTCTCGTGGTGGGTGTTCTAAACGAGATCTTAATAATAATGAGGACAAACTTAAAAAAAAATACAATTGACCTTTAAAAAATATCTAATTTCTACGTAAAAAGCCATAAAATCTCTCAGCATAACGTCAAGCACGACCTATGTTCTCTATTCAGCCGTATTTTTCTAACAAGGAAAGTACTTCTATGGGGTGTGGAGTTACAGGTCGAGACATATATCAAAAAAATCGCAAAAATTTTCTGATTCAGAATATATAAACATTAGCTGCCTAATTTTGGTCTGATGACATGTTTTTGTCCTCAGAAGTTTTCTCGCGACACCATGCAAGTGTCTTTTTGACCGTGTTTTTACAAATAAAAAATTTTGTTTTGTGCTAAAATAAATTCTGCCTTGACAAGCCTTAACATATCAATTGGATTACAACTACACCTTAAAGGTAGTTCCAATTTAAAAAAATGGGTTCTAGTGTGGCAAAACGAATCGAACCCGTTCCCTTCTGATTTCCAATCTAGCGCTCTAACCACTCGGCCACACCGCTCTCTTCCGAAGGAAGAGACCGAGCGCGCTTTTGTTTCCGCAGATTTTTTTCCTCGAGACATACATTTATTGATAAAACTCGTTAATAGACCAAAATTAGGCAGCTAATTTTTATATATTCTGAATCAGAAATTTTTTGCGAATTTTTTGATATATATCTCGACCTGTAACTCCACACCCCATAGAAGTACTTTCCTTGTAAAATACGGCCTAAAATAAGCTTACCTCTCGGCCATTTTCCAATTAATCAACGACCATCCAGTGCACAATCGATCAGCCAATTTTCTCATCGTTGGAATCGTCAGCTCATTGACAATTCCAGACTGTCCCACCAAGGCTTGAGCCACCGTAATGTAATGCCCTTCAGCTCTGACCAAAGTCGTCCGCAACAAATTGTCGAGCCCATACTTTGAGGCTAAAGAAAGGTGCTCTCTCATGATATTTGTGGAGATTGGGGGCTGCATGGCAATCGCCTAAACTTCAAACAATTCAATAAACAACAACAACAACTTACTGCTTCCATTTTACCCTTCAAGTAGACCAATTCATTGTCGTGGGCGAAGATCAACATTGGCCGGATACAAGCCTCACAAATCGGCTTGTTGTAATAAACAAAGTCAACGAACTCATTGAGGAAGTGACGAAGATCAATATGGAGGTTGTTTAGGTACTCACGAGTCTCCACGGTGAAGATTGGGTAATATTCTGAAAGTATCAAAGATAAATTATATTACACATGACATAAGATCAATAATTTTAACCGAAAACAACAAAACTGATTCATAAAAGCTCCGAACATGTTGTTATACAGCCCGCTCCTCCTGCAACAAACCAAAGCTATGCAACGTTGCATTTTTCGTCTAGAGAGGAAGACTTGACCAAGATGAGTCAACTCTTTCCCCATCCAAGAAAATTCTCCGTAATTAGGAGAAAAGTTTTGAAATTTCTGACGAGGAAAGTACTTCTACGGGGTGTGGAGTTACAGGTCGAGTCATAGATCAAAAACAAACGTAAAATTTTTCTGATTCAGAATATGTAAATGTTAGCTGCCTGATTTTGGACTGTAGGGTGAAAAAATCCTCAGAACTTTTATCGCAGCACCACACAAATGCCGCTTTTTTATATTGGAACTACTAATTAAGGTGTAGTATTAATCAAATTTGATATTTTAAGGCTTGTCAAGATGCCAAGGTTCACTTTAGCTCAAAACAAAGCTTTTGATTTGGTAAAAACTTTGTCAAAAAGGCATTTGCGTGGTGTTGCGAGAAAACTTCTGAGGATTTTTTCACCTTTACAAACCAAAATCGGTAGCTAACTTTTACATATTCTGAATCAGAAAAATTTTGCGATTTTTTTGATATATGACTCGACCTGTAACTCGATAGCCCATTGAAGTACTTTCCTTGTCAAAAATTTTATATTATCCATGGTAAGACTTACCTCGGGATGGGTTCCGAGGGCTTTGGCCAGCTGAAGAGGTTGTGTTTTCGGGCGTAGGGGCAGGCCGGGGCAATAATCTCGTCGTAGACATCCGCTAGGAACAACTGACTGGGAACATTTTTGAATCTTAGGTACAAATATAAATCGCTGGGCTTGTTCGGGGGGCTGGCTGAAAATAAAATGATCAATAAAATTATTTTACTTTAGACTAAAGTAAAGCAGTTCCCAAAACAAAAAAATCTTACCTCATTTGGTCCTGCCGAGCACCCGTTGTTTTCCACAAGGCCCTCCGGATCAAGTGGAGGGCCAGGGTGCTCCGGTCGACCAAAACGTCCACGCCAGTGACCGGGAACAAAAGGTGAGCACCCATTTTTATCTTCCAACGGCCCCCCGGGCTCATTCGGGGGGCTAGGGTGCTCCACCTTAGTTTCTTGTTCCTTCATGGACTTGTTTGGCATTGGCTGAAAATAAAATTATATTACTTTAGATTAAATCAAGGTCAAGCAGTTCCCAAAACAAAAAAATCTTACCTCATTTGGTCCTGCCGAGCACCTGTTATTTTCCACAAGGCCCTCCGGATCAAGTGGAGGGCCAGGGTGCTCCGGTCGACCAAAACGTTCACGCCAGTGACCGGGAACAAAAGGTGAGCACCCATTTTCGATTTTCCAACGGCCCCCCGGGCTCATTCGGGGGGCCAGGGTGCTCCACCTTAGTGTCCTGTTCCTTCATGGACTTCTTTGGCACTGGCTGAAAATAAAAGGATCAGTAAAATTATATTATTTTTTAGACTAAACCCAACCAAAATCATTATTTGGTGGGTGACTGCGAAAAACTTACATTTACCGCGAATGCTACGATTTTCTTCTACAATATGCCCCCAAAATCCAACAGTGTATAACAAAACGCAATTGTTGTTATATCGGGCGCAGCTCGCAAAAACAGTTTTGCAAAAAACTTACATTTTTCTTGTTCCAGCCGGTCGAACTAAGGTTTGAGTGCATTTGAACGACACAGGATCTCGTGGTTGCTTGTCGTAAGTTTTAATTGGGCAAATTGCTAAAAGATTAGAATTATTGGGGGGACGCTGCGAAAAACTTACGTTATTAGGCATCGTTATTAGGCATGAATGACTGCGCCGAGTTGGGTTTTTGACCACTTAATAGGGATTTACTGCCCTTCGACCTGAAAAAATCTTGTTGTTATTGATTAAGATTGCGATAGTAAATATAGCGTTTGAAAAAATGCGAAATTGAAAATTTTTGAAGGGCGTTTTGGGTAAAAATGGTAAAGATATCGAAAAAATTGACTTACGAGGCAACCTGGACTCCTGTGAAGTCCGATACGATCGGCTCGACATGTCCACGATGAGACGTGAAGGAGGCTTTCGTTCTCTTCGTGGACGTTGGTGTTCTTCTGGGCCATTGTCCTCTTCTTGAAGCACTGGGCCAAGTCCTTGAAGTTCCCTCGACCTTCGGTGGGGCCGAGGACGTTGAGGGTCAGCTGAGGGCTGATAACAACATCGCCTTTTGCACTTCGCCATTCTTCGCAAAGGCCCAGGAGCCTCGTGATTTTGTGCTTCTGTAGGTGGCGGCGAGTGTTGGGTCACTGGAGGCTGGGTGACGTCAAGCCTTAGGATGTCCGCAGTTGTTGGCGTTATTGACCACGCTGTCGTCATCAGCGGGCTTCTGGATCTGTCGGCCCTTGGTGGCCGGCCGTCGGCGACTGCTGTCCGAAGGTGTTGCCGATGGCGGGCTTGCAGTTCAGCGACTTCTTTTTCTGCCGCTTCCTTCAGTGCCCTTTCTTCTTCGGCCTTTTTGGTGGCGGCGGAGGCGGCTTCTCTGGCCTTCTTGGCCTCAACTTCCGCCTCTTTCAGGGCTTCTTGGTAGAATTCGACTTTTTTTTCCAATGTCGCTTGTTTTTCCCAAATTATGCGGCACTGATCCTTCCAGAAGTCCCTTTGCCATCGAATGCGGGCATTTTGATCTTCTAATGGTTCTTCAGAGGCTGCATTCTCATCGAAGGCTTCAAGGGACATTATTGATGGGACGCTATGGAGCGTTGAGTGCTCCTCACTCGTACTGGAGCTGCCATCAAATCTCGATGTGGACGAGAAGTCCAATAAGTCCACCGATCCAATCGAGCCCTCAACCGCCGGCAGGTGGTCGGCCTGGTCGGTTGGGGCAGGTTCTGGGCCGAAGCCCGAGGGGCCAGTGGTACTGCTTGACCCCTCTTTACCCTCCTCTGGGACGCCGGTTGGATGCTGGCCAACCAGAGGAGGGGCCATTACCGCCGGCAGTTGTTCAGCCTGCGCGGAATGGGCTTGGCGCTCGGATGCTGGGCTCGAGCGGTGGCCGGAGGCCTGGCCGATGTTGTTTGGAGACACTGAAATCACCAAAATTAGACGAAAATTTTTAAAAAATATGGTTAAAACTGGTAACTCCATCGCTAAGGGCCCTAACATAGCCTATTCTTTCTATTTTCCCTATGTAATTTTTTGCTTTTAGGTGCAGATCCTGATGCTGGAGATCCATAATTTTGATTCTGAAGGCCACGGTGACCGAAAATTCCATATTTCACTCAAAGTCCTGTGAAGAATTGTCCATTTGCCCAAAAAACAGTCGAGTGATGTCGAAATTCCATCCAGCTTGAAGTGCAGCGACGAAAACCATATTAACCACACGAAACCCGAGCTGATTTTTTGTTGATGGCGACCGGAAGGCGTATTTATAGTGGTGATCAGGAAATCGACAGCAGAGCAGCTCGAAAGCTGTAGAACACTGAATGAACCGAAGATCGGATCAAACGACAACGTGGAACAAGGAGAACCTTCAAAAGGACCCCAGAAAATGAGACAAGAGCAAATTGATGGCGCTGATCCGGAGCTAAATGATGATTGCTCCTCGACGGAAGAAGATTAGGTGCGGATGGACAACCTTTGGATGATTTGTGGCGATGTCGACGTGAAGATCATGGAAAACGGGTAATGGATTGGATTCATGAAGAGAAAATGATCAGCTTGGTGTGCGGACGTTCGGATTGAGCTAAAATAAGGTAAGTCCAGGGGTCAAATGGGCGAAAACGTCTAAAAGTTTTTGTAATTTCGGGTTTTTCCTTGTATCCGTCTTTTTAATGTTCCATTCCAGATATCCATTAATTGTTCGATAATTTCCAAGACGATATTGATGTCATGAATAATCTTCAGGCCAAGGAAATCATTGCTGAGGCTCGTTACTCCAAAAATCGAGGCAAACATTGCGAAGATTTCGGTTGGAAATGGAGTCCTGATGTAAAAACAAATTTGATGGTGAAGATGTTGATGGAATGGAATGTTTGGGTGGTCGATGATCCTTCCCCTTTTCTTTACGAACGGTTTGAAGTCGTTTGAAGGTGGTAACTCCAAAGAATCCAGTCGAATGACGCTGAGTTCTGATGTTGGTCAAGTCGGTAAGCCTGTTTGATGGGTTTTTTGATGTTAAGATTGAGAGTTTAGAGTCTCTGAAACAGTCCACGCGACACGAAACCGTAAATTCGACGAGCCGGAACGACGAGAAATCACGTCCACCAGGAGAACAACACTCAGAGCACAGCAAGAGGTCTTTCAACAAGATTCTGACAAGAAAAACGAGGACAGGTACCAAGAACACCATCAATAACGTCACTCCACGGACGAGACGAGCTCCCCACCCCTTGAAATTACTCTACAATAACCCTAATCCTTAGTGATGACCGTAGACATGGTCCATTTGACGTTGGTCTTCAGCAATCAGCCCAGTGATTGAATTGGTCCAATGTGGAAGGTACAGGCGGTTCATCGTGTCATCAGGTGGTGTCTCACAGTGAAAACCCCGTTAAAAGTAACAAGAAGGTCAATTTACGTGGGCAGTATAAAATGATGTAAGTATTTATGGTTATATTTAGCATAATACAATTAGAATTTTTATGGGGATATCCAATTGTAATGTTCGATGTTTTAGGGCGCCAACGGACTTGGAAATGGACTCATGACAAGGAGCGACCCATCGAGTTTTGAACCGTCTTGGAATGCCTGGATGAAACTGAAAGGCGAAGAAAGGAAAATAAAAATTTTTACCTGGTCGACGAATCAGATTGCAGATGAAGTTGATGAAGTTTATTGGCAATTTGAGTAGAACAAAACGGTAAGGCACTGTTGGCCATGAAAATGAAAAGTTTAGTCTTTTTTTTGGGAACCGACCAGTGGATTCATGGAAGGCCACCAATCGACTTCATCAGTTTTGGAAAGACGTCTGCCCGATCATGATGGGTATATCAATCCGGGAGACTGCGGGCTGGGATTGGTCGTTAGAAAGCAAAATTTCGGTAAAGAGTTGTCGTAACTTTTGGAATTTTCGTCAAAACGTTTCGAAATTTATATCAAAAGCGAATTTAGCTTTTAGCTTTAAACTCAGAATTTAGGCTAACTTGGCTTTGGTTTTATTGCCTAAAGGTGTGTCAAAAAAAGAAAGCATTTTTTCCAAAATTTTTTCACAAAAATGAAATCCGCAATTCGAATTTTTTGAATTTACCGAGGAGCGACCTTTGTGGTTCGAAATTTTTCAGTAGTTCGGCTAAAATACGGCGGTCGATCTCTCGGGGTTCTAAAAATTGCAAAACTCAAAGAATATTGACTTAAGTTTGCCCGTATTTTACCGTACTAAAATAGATTCCGGCGGGATACCACCAGCCAAAATTGCGAATTTTTATGTAATATTTGGCTTGGATATTACACTTCACGATTCAATAGTATATTTTTAAGGCCTTTAGGCCTTTTTATTGCCATTTTTTTGGCGGGATTTACGGTAGAAACCCACCAGCCAAAAATTAAATTCATTATTTTACGGGTCACAAATTCAATCTAAGGTAATTTCGAGTTGCAACTAATTATAAGGTCTTTCAAAATGAGCTCCAAATCAATTTTTTGAGCTCTTTTTTTTTGTTTTTTAACTCAAAATTATATTGTTCTAGACGAGTGAAGTATTGATATTTTTGTTATATTTTTCCCCTAAGCTTAAGTTAGTCATCTCAACCCAAGTTAAAGTCTATTACCGTATTCAAAGCCGGATTTGTCATCAAAAGATCCAGAATTTCTGGCATTTTGATGACAAATCCAACTCTCAAAATCCTCAAATAAACCCCAAAAAATCCCAAAAAACCCCAAAAATTCCAACTTGACTTACCCATCGGCCGCTCCCCGACGCCAACCACCGGGACGGCAGCGGTGGAAGGCGAAGGGGCCATCGTCGAGTTGACGGCGTCGCTTGATGCGGAGTTTTGGCTCATCTTTCGATTGATAGCTGGAACCAGGATATTTCGACCGGTGAATGAGAAAATTGCCAACGAATTTTTGGTGAATTTCTAATATGCAAATTTCGAATTTTGATGCAAATTCGTGGGAAACTGACGTTTTTTTCAGATTTTCATTCAAATTTTTGCAATTTTTTGGAACGTTTTTTACAACGTGGCGAAATTTCGGACATCTTTATGGAATTTTGAAGGCTTCAGGACGGGTTTGGACAGGGGTTTTTGGCTGTATGGCATACTTTTGGTGAGTTTTGACAAATTTTATTCGATTTCTTTAGCTTTTGATGTATTTTTTGAATTTATTTATTTAATTTTAGATGGTTCTATGGCTAATCTGATACGAACTCTCCCAAGCCTTCAGCCTCGGATGAACGGTCACAGATTGCTACCGATGGTCGAAGTCGCCAGAGAGGCAAATTATAGCTGATGGGCAAAGTGGAAGAGGTAAGTTGTTTGTTGAGCTTTTTGGATTGTTCGGAATTTAGGAAATTGCATTGGAGCCCCGCACGTCAAGAAAAAATAAAAGAAAAACGGGCGCCCAATGAAAAAGCCTAGAATTTTTTTTGGCATTCTGCCCTGTGCAAATCCGTTTTTGTCCAAATGGTTTGCAATATTTTGACATAAAGATTAATAGTAAATCACAAGATATTGATACCAATAGAAAGCTCGAGAGCTGCTTAAGCTAATAGAACCAAAATATACCCATAATCGTAGTATTTTGACAGTTTTCCATGGCGAAGAATGCAACGTCTAAATAAAAGTTTGTATCGACGATACCGAGTCAGAGAGCACTGGAAGGAGGTATAGGCTCCACGTCAAAAAAATCCTTAAACTGTTCTTCGAGTATCTACACCGGTCCCGTCCCGCTTGATGGGACAGTTTTTTTGATAGTTGGCCTTGAAATTTGCACTATTTTTAGCCTAGCTCGAACCATGTTCAGAAAATGCGTCACGATGACACCCATTTAGAATGTACCAGCGGTATAAAAAACAGTTGTATACGACTAGTAGTACTCCCTAGAGTTCCCATTAAAAAAATTAGGTTAAAAATTGTTGTTATGCGCAATTTGGATGACAGGTTTTATGAATTTTTTTTCGCTGTGAGAACCTTTGCAATGCCCGCAATTTCTTGACGTGCCCCGCGTCAACGTAAATGTCATGAAAGGCATGTGATGGTTGGAGCCTAGCAGGACTAGAATCGGCAGTGCTTCAGTTCCAGCGGACGATACAACGCTGAGAAAGTTGACATTATAGCTGATGGGCAAAATGGAAGAGGTAAGTTGTGTTTTGTTTTTGGATTGTTCGGAATTTAGGCTGTTGCACCGGAGTTCCCCGCCCACTTGAATGAGAGGCATGTGGTGGCTGAAGCCTTGTTGGGAGGAACCAGGATCAGCGATACTTCGATCCCAGCGGACGATTTCAATGATGAGAAAATTGGCAAGTTGATGGTGCACTGGAATTGGAAACTGACTCAAAGGTAGGCCTATTTTAGAAGATTGTTGTTGATTTAAAGGTATGGGTGGCAATTGGCGTTATGCTGAGAATTTTTCTGACATTTTCGGCGTAGATTTGAAGATTTACTGTAGTTGGAACGTATAGTGCGGGACATTTCACCTTTCTAGAATTCATTCGAACCTTTTCTTGGAGTAATTTTGATTAATCTTTCTTCTAACATTGTCCTGATTATTATAACGTCTCATTTAGAACTCCTGCGACGAGAAATCATTGTCAGACGCATACTGAAGCTCTCCGCCAGCAAGTATCCAATCGAGACTCCGGATTTGGGGACGATACATCGATGATGTTGTAGCAGGCACAAGTAGATGACTCCCGACCCCGATCACTGCGGTCAAAGCCCCTTACTTTGGTCTTCCAAAGTATTTCAACTCAGCCACAACACCCGATGTTATCGAAAGGCTTGAATTTTTCTTGTGTTTATACTATAAATGATAAGAATACGGTATTTTCTGTGTATTTTTTATGATTTTTGTCGATTTATTACAGGGTGCGCCAAAAATATTGGGTCAAAAATCAATTCCGTGTAGCTTCTTTCGGCTTGCCTAGAAATTAAAAATTTTAGGGTTTTTAGCAAGGGTAACTATCGTGCTATACAGCAACGGTAATGCCAGGGTTGGGGCCTATTGACAACTTGAAAAAATAATCAAAAGTTTTTTGGGGACCAAAATTTTCTTTTCAAGTGGATGACCGGGAAATCAATTTGCCCATTATTTCCGCTAAAGGAAAGTAAGGTTCTTCAAATTAATTGTGTACAAATCACATGCTATTCAATTCGTAACAGCGTATGTAGTCATCGTTGACGACCGATCTGGCGGCGCTGGTCGCAAAAACTATAAAAAAATCCCGAAAGTTCGGATTTTTATGTTTTTAACGATCTCAATACCATAGTATCGCCCGTGTTGCTCTAAAATTTTGTGGTTGTAGAGCGTGTACATAGGGAATTGTTATACTGTAAAAGAAAACCTACACCTACAAGGGGACAGTTTCTGTATGAAAAAAACTTTATGGTGCGGATTGGAGGCACGGTCCTTCGAAACTTGATATATTTTGGCAGTTTACTACAAGTTGAAAAGTATTTGAGCGTAAAAATCGACGTAACGCTGTACTCGGGATACATGCTGACACAACTGAATTACTTTTAGCGATTTTCAGTCCAAGCTCACTTGACGAGCAACCTTAGAGTAAACTCTACCGCTATAGTCACTATTTCGTCCCTCAGAGGCACTTCAAAAGACGACTAGTCAGACTCTCGTTGTTCTTATAAAAGTATCTTTGATGCCTAATATGCTGAGAATCATACATCGAAACTTCTACATAAAAATCCTTGATCTAACGGAAGTTTTCTGGAAGAAGGCGCGTTTTTAGGCCGACTTTGACGGGCTGTAAAAGATGTAATCGTGGTTATTCGGAAAAATCATTTTTAGTGTATAAAAAGCAACCGCTACTCTGTCCTATAAAGTGAATTTCTGCCATAGCATACAACGGTAAAACTAGTGTTTCCAATTTTTATCCATTTTGGGGTCCGTGTCTCAGGGGCCTTAGTTGTGAGCACTTATAATACAGAACAGGTGTCGTATACGACTACTCCGTTTGAAACTTTGAAGATAGATTCTTGGGAGCATTACACGTTTTACACAAGCGACCACTTTGCTCATGTACCATTACAGCCCGCAGGGCAAGTAAAAATATTATATTTTTGGCGCACCCTGTAGACATCAATGATGACCCAAGATAAATTAGGGTGAAAGAGATGACTGACAGGGGTTATATCATTAAAAACCGTTGAATTTGTGACGAAAAGTTGCCAGCCCACCGAAAAGGCTATAGAAATCCGAATACGAGTCAATGCAGAATCCGCGTTTCAAATACCCTTTTATGATTACCCGAAAACCTTCGGATCGAAGGTCACCCGGCAGAATTCATGGAAGGAAATTCAGCGACATTTCCATTTAGACTGTTGTAGGCTGGTCCGACAACTGCTAAATTTTCTTGCACTAGCTATTCACATCGCGGTTGGGTTTCCTGCCGGCGATGCCGTTGCTGGCAACAACCTCTCCAGAGGATGCAGAAGCTCAACCCGTCACAGGACCTTCTCGAGGATTGGCACACTGAACACAAGAGGAATCTGTTCACAACCTCAACTTGCCGACTTTGAGAACCAGGAAGGATGGGAAGCACGTCTTCTGAATTGGACGCCCGATACCAAAATGCCGTTGGAAAGACCAAGAACGCGCTGGGAAGACGACTTCAAGAACTTCTGTCCCACCATGTTCAACTTGTAGACTTGGAGAACCGACGTGATATCCCCACCTCGTTTGCTGGCGAACCGCTTTTTTTACACTATCGGAGCATAAAAAATAACTTCTACAAAAAGGTGGTTGCGACCAGAACACTTCCGCAACCTGCGAGGAAATTCGGGGGCCCATAAACGTTCCGGTGCCCAATTTACAATGATTCTGCAGCTGACCGGATTCGAAGAACAAATATAGGATGCAGCACTGACGGCGTTGGAAGCCGAAGACCAGGCCAGCGGATTCCGGGAGCTTACCCACCAGCGGAAGCCTGGATACTAACATTTTCACAAAGTGCCTGGACATTTTTTCGCTGTCGCACAGTGCATCTTGAACTTTTGTCGCCAACGCACTGTGGATTTTTGCCTTTGCGCACCGTGCATGTTTAAAACAGACCGTTTGCACTGTGCAAATTCTCGCGGCGGCGCAGTTGAGAAAAGGTTTTGTCGCACGATATTCCAAATGCACAGTGCAAAACCAAAGAAAGGTCAATGCACGGTGCAAAAAAACGCGGGCTTTGTGCACGGTGCAGACCGCGGCGAACGTCCAGGCACTTTGTGAAAATGCTAATAGTCCTTCCGGGAAGTCGCCGGACTGATTTTTTTCGGCGCTATGAAAAAAAATTTTGACGCGAAAAAGGCATCCCAAATAAGCAAAAAAAAATTGCACTGCAAAGAAAACTTTTGGTTTCGCACAGCACGTGTCGCCGACTTCAGTCCGGCGGCCTTCCAGACGGACTAGTATGCGCCCAGGACCCAATTCCAGGTGGTTTCGCTGATGAATCCGCCATTTTCGGCTTCGATACACAATTCAAACAACACCATACCGACATAAATGGCGCTTTTACGGCCGAGCACAAGATAAACAGCCCTAACCCAACTGCCCTTGCTGCAGCTATCCCCACCCCCATATACATCCTACCCTTCTAGAAAATTAATTTTCTAGGCCGAAACTTCCCAAAGTCCCCAGGGGATACGTAATTCGGTCGATAAACCCGTGAAAACCCATGCATAATTCAACGTCTTTCCCAGCCAAAACCTAAAGATATTCAGGGTACCCTCACTTTCGGACTAAACCATCGATATAAACATACAATGCATGCTCTGTACCGGGCCCGAATAAAAAAATCAGCATAAATTTGCCTATAAAACCGCTCGAAAAACCCTTAACACCTACCCGAATAAAAATTCGACATAAATTTGCCTATTGAATCATTAGAACCAACTCTTGTCACCTACCTTCACACGACCCCTTTCTCCCATTTCCCCTTCCCCTTTCAAAGCAAAAAAACAATAAAAAACACAACAACAAATAGATAAAATTGGATTTGTAGATCCTTCTTATTGGCTGGGAAGTGGCCTGGACTGATTGAATCTGGTGGTACTTGAAGGAACCTGAAAGAAAAAAGGGATTAAAAGGCCAAAAACTCAAAAATAAGGTCAATAATCTCATGAGAAATATAGAAATCCCGAAAAAAACGTCATCACAACGCCTACGATCAACCAAAATTAGTTCAACACCTGTTTTATCGTAAATAGATTTACTTTATCCCTTTTATTTTACATCAGACACTGAAACGTCAACTAAGCAGATACCTGATGTCACGAATCATACAAAAAAAATTTCCATGACGCCATAATTCAATAGTAAATGACCTGATCTCTGATTGGAATAGCCCACATCCACATTCAAACAGATTTCAAATCAACCAAAGTCCCTCTTTACCAACATAGATCCGCCTACCTCAAAACTACTGCGCATCCTCAATGAAGGATGTTACCATGGAATCCAGGGCTCGGTTCTTCGCTGTCTTGTTCTTGGGCTATCTTGTTCTTCGATTCCGATCAATCTAGCTTCCACGTCGACCATAAGCATGCCCAAATGTCATTCTGAAAGAAAAATGTATTTAAACGCGAGAAATTAAACCGGAAAGTTAATCATCTCATCAGCAATATAAAAATATCCCAATACCGTCATGACGACATGACTAATGGCAAAAACTGGTAATTACTTCGTATAAAATTGCTTTCAATATAGGGCTTGGGGTCTTTACTTTTCATTGGCTCGGCGAATTTGTTTTGCGGAAATTCTGAACGCCTTTTTTGCAAAATCAGCCCGAGCCCTATATCCCCGCAGCGACGAATGTAGCGAGCTACATCGTTCGAATCCAAATTCAAAGGGATTTCGATCCCTAGATCAACCAAACCCCCCTTTTGTTAAAAGAGCTTCGCCTACCTCCAAAAAACTGCACTGTGCATCTTCAAGGAATCGACCATTTCCAAGGCTCGGCAAAGTCACTTGTTCTCCACTTTCACTCTAGCTTGCTCTTCAACCATAAGGCAATTCTGGACGTCCTTCTGAAACAAAAATGTATCAGTCTGTCGGAAAAATAACGGCGGATCGTCGCAGCAAAATGTCTCGCCTCGCCGCTACCGCGCACCAAATCCCCAGCCGCGGCTTGCAGTCGCAAAGCGATGATGAGCGACTCCGAGGCGCGACGATCCGCCGTTTTTTTCCCGACGGACTGATATTTAAACGCGAGAAATTAAACAGGAACGTTAATCATCTCATGAGCAATATCAAAATATCCCAATACCGTCATGACGACATGATTAATGACAAAAACGAGTTATTACTTCTTATAGAACTGCTTTTACGGCATCTCACATCTTTTAATTCCCAAACACCTCCCGAAAAAGTGAAAAAATCCTAAAATTCTTCCGAAAAATCACAAGAAATGTAGCGTTCTAAGTTCCCGTCATGACGAGAACTACACATGTATCTAATAATCAAAAAGAAAAATAGCACCTAGCTATACTTTTAAGCTTCTAAACCTGAGTGTAACCCGTTCACACCACAGTAAAAATCAGGGTTTAAAAAACCCTTATCTCTACCGTAACCTTTCAAAAAATATATCGTGATGACGGGCTTTTTTCACAAAACTAAACTCTTTTTCACCTAAAATGCTAGCAGTATCCCTTTTAGATCTCGATTCCCTAATTTATCACTCCCAATTGACATACCTTTCTGATCTTTCCGCGGTGGGGACCTCCGGGGCACCATTGATTTCTCCAACTTCTCCAGGGCTCCAAGGAACGGATTCTCGATGATTTCCATGAAAATAGATAAGATTAAAAGTAGAACGAGCAGTATCTGGACTTATAACAAGAAATAAAGGCCTACAATTGGGAAAAAAACAACTTACTTTAATCACCAAAGCAGGCTTTGATGATTGGGTGAAGGGGAGGGAGTGGGAGGGGAAAGGGAAAGGGAAAGGAGGGTGGTGGGAGTGGTAGAAGAAGGCGAGTAATGGAAGTGGTGGGAGTGGAAGCGATGAGGCTTCTTCTTTTATTTTTTTCTTTTTTTGCTTCTTTTTTTCTTTCTTTTTTCCTTCCTTTTTTCTTTTTTTTTCTTTCTTTTTTTCTTTTTTCCTTCCTTTTTTCTTTTATTCTTTTTTTTTACCAATTTTTTTCTTTTTTTCTTTTTCTTAACATTTTTTTAGTTTTTTATCCGTAGCTTGGGGCTTGAAGATCTCTGCAAGTAATACAATAAACATCAGCCACAACCCACGAAGGGCGGAAATGTCCGCTAAAAACAGGAAAGAGGAGGTTTTCGAAAATCTAATCCATTTCTTCTGAATTTTTGCCTATATCTTCTTCAATTCTTCAAAATAAATGTTTTAATTGGTAAAAACTTGGTCAAACTTGTATGATCTTGTGAGAAAACTCCCGACGCTATTTTTTGTCTTCACAATCAAACATTAGACACTACGGCTTAAGCAAAATTGTAAAATTCAGAAAAAATGAATACGATTTTCGAAATCAGCGTCATCAAAAACCTCCCCCCTCTCCCCGCCCTCCTCTTTCCTTTTTTAGCGGACCTTTCCGTCCTCAATCTCCACAACTTACTGCTTCCATAGACCAATTCATTGGCGTGGGCGAAGACCAATGGATTAATCCGCGATGGGCAAAAACTGTAACACTACTGTAGACCAGACAAACTACAGATGGATCGGTGTCATCTGTCATCCTTGGGTCTGAAATAAAGCGATCAGTAAGTCTTTCAAAAAATCTTTGGAATGACTATAGGTGTAATTACGAGAAAAGTTTTAAAATTTTTCAAAAATTTTATATTATCCATGGCAAAATTTACCTTAGGATGAGTTCCGAGGGCTTTGGCCAGCTAAAGAATTGTGTTTTCGGGCGTAGAGGCAGGCCGGGGCAATAATCTCGTCGTAGACATCCGCTTGGAACAACTCATTGGGTTCGCTGAATTCCAGATACAATTCTTTTTTCTAACTTTACTGCCTTTTTTGGCTTTTCTCTTTTTTCGAAAAATATTTTTTTTTGCTTTTTTTTGCCTTTTCTTTTCATTTGGCCTTTACTAGTCGCGACATAAAGTCCTGACACAATTTGTCGCGGGTGTCGCGCGAGAAAAGTGGCGCACTCGCGCGAAAGGAAAACAAAAACGCACAGTGCAGACGTCTCAGGACTTTATGTCGCGACTAGTATTTTTTTTTTTTATTTTTTTGGCCTTTGTTTTTTTGGCTCTTCTTTTAGTTTTTTTGGCTCTTTTTTTCTTTTTCTTTTCTTTTGGCCTTTAAATTTTTTTTGGCTTTTCTTTTTTTTACTTTTTTGGCCTTTTTCATATATTTTTTCTTTTTTTTACATTTTTTCTTTTATTCCTTCGGTGGCGGACCTTGTAGAGAGAGGTTCTCTGAAAAGTTTAAAAAAAATTACTGAAAACAACGTAAAACATCAGCCCTATAAAAATATCTCTAAACCCCTCAACAAGGGCCAACGTGTCCAAAAGCTTTTACTGTCTATAGCTCCATAAAAAATTCTCTGCCCAAAACTAGAGCCCTATAGTCATGAATTACATGTATTACATATGTTTCTATAACTGTATATGAAATGTGTATCAAAAACGGCGCATCTATAGTAAGGACATAGTATTTTTGGCAATTAAAAGGCGCAAAGACCAAACAAAACGGTAAAAGCTCATTATAAACGATGAAACCTGTCCCGGATAATTATTCGAAAGCCGGCTCAGCCACTCTAACATCCCGAAACTAACAGGGGAAGTACTCCAAGCGCGACGCTCAGATTTTGATGAAACTTAGCACAAATTTAGAATAATTTGCGACAATCCTAGCTCGCGCTTAGCACAAACAACCGAGATTTTTAGATCGAAAGTCGGCGAAAATTTAGGACTTTTTGCCGAATTTCGGCACGAAAAGTTTCATGCCTATTTCAACTGTAAAGGATAATGTTTCTACAAAAAATCAAATTTTTCCGCGCGAAACTGCCAAAGTTATGGCCAAAAAGCGCTTTTCTCTCTGACCGCTCTCCACGTTTAGCGTGCTCTCTCGGCGGCAAAAATCGTTCGATATCTCGGCGGCGCCCGCAAAGCGCGAGCTAAAACTTTCAGGAATTGATATTTAGTCCATACCCGACGTGTGTGCAAAATTTTAAGAAAATCTGAGCGTCGCACTTGGAGTACTTCCCCTGTACTCCAAGCAAAAAAGAAAAACATTGGCTGATGGAACTTACTGCTTCCATTTTTCCATTCAAATCACCTTGTTGTAACATGCAAAATCAACGAACTCTTCGAGGAAGTGATGAAGATCAATCTGGAGGTTTTCAAGGTACTCGCGAGTCTCCACGGCGAAGATTGGGTAATATTCTGAAAGGATCAAAGATAAATTACATTATACATGATAAGAGATCAATAATCTTAACCGAACACTACAATACTGATTCAGAAAAGCTCCCAACATGTTGTTATACAGTCCGCTCCTCCTGCAACAAGCTAAATCTATGCAAGATTGCATTTTTCGTCTAGAGAGGAAGACTTGACCAAGATGAGTCAACTCTTTCCCCATCCAAGAAAATTCTCCGTAATTAGGAGAAAAGTTTTGAAATTTCTGACGAGGAAAGTACTTCTATGGGGTATGGAGTTACAGGTCGAGTCATATATCAAAAAAATCGTAAAATTTTTCTGATTCAGAATATGTAAAAGTTAGCTGCCTGATTTTGGATTGTCAGGGTGAAAAAATCCTCAGAACTTTTCTCGCAGCACCACACAAATGCCCTTTTTTATATTGGAACTACTAATTAAGGTGTAATATTAATCAAATCTGACATTTTAAGGCTTGTCAAGATGCCAAGGTTCAATTTAGCTCAAAACCAAGCTTTTGATTTGGTAAAAACGCTGTCAAAAAGGCATTTGCGTGGTGTTACGTGAAAACTTCTGAGGATTTTTTCACCCTTACAAACCAAAATCGGTAGCTAACTTTTACATAATCTGAATCAAAAAAAATTTTGCGATTTTTTTGATATATGACTCGACCTGTAACTCGATAACCCATTGAAGTACCTTCCTTGTCAAAAATTTTATATTATCCATGGTAAAACTTACCTCGGGATGGGTTCCGAGGGCTTTGGCCACCTGAAGAGGTTGTGTTTTCGGGCGTAGGGCAGGCCGGGGGCAATAATCTCGTCGTAGACATCCGCTGGGAACAACTGACTGGGAACATTTTTACTTGAATCTTAGGTACGAATATAATTCTTTTTTTTTACTTTTTTGGCTTTTCTCTTGTTTTTTTTTCAAAAAATATATTTTTTTTTTTTTTTTTAGGCCTTTTTCATTATTTTTTTTTGGCTCTTCTATTTTTGCCTTTTCTTTTTTTGGCCTTTCAATTTTTTTGGCCTTTGCAATTTTTTTCTGGCTCTTCTATTTTTGCCTTTTTTTTGGCCTTTTAATTTTTTTTGCTTTTCTTTTTTTGGTTTTCTTTTTTGTCTTTTTTACATTTTTTTCTTTCATCCCTTCGGTAGCGGGCCTTGAAGGGAGAGGATCGCTGGGCTTGTTCAGGGGGCTGGCTGAAAATAAAATGATCAATAAAATTATAGTTAAGGGTTCAGACTCCGCCCCTTTACTCGATCTTGAAACTAGGTCAACGGCCCGATCGAGGCGAATGCCCGATCGGTTGGCCAGTCGATGTGACCGAGAGGTTAGAGGGAGGTGACCCTCGGATCGCATATTTAGGCCCTCCGAGAGGATGGGGCCGAGGGGCACTCCGTGGTTTTGGGGTTCTATTTTATGTTTATTATTGTATTTTGCATTTTGGTATATCTAATAAAGACCTAAGGAGTATGTCGGAATTAGACGATCCAGAACCGGCCACGCCGCCAAATAAAACTGGTAGCTCAGAGTGGTTCCGTCTATTCCACATCGCAACTCTAGGTAACCCAGCCCGGTTGGAAGATGACTAGGTTGCGAGGTCTTCAGTTAGTCTTCGCGGCTCTCGACCATTGTCGAGACAGTAGCTGTCCTCAACGGTAGCTCCTCCAGCCACGTAGAGAGCGGGGGAGATGAGGCCGTTATTATAGCCGGTAGTCGCGAATGCCGGTCTATGGCGGTTTCTAAATGGGGCCTCGTTTCGCTAGATCCCAACCGGTCATGGGATGGGTTGTAGGTGTTCATATTTCTTAGGTTTAGTTAGATATACCTTTAATTTCAAAATTTTCTTTATCCTCAATTACGGTAGTGTCCCTGGCCAGCCGCATCTGGTCGACAAAATTTCTGTCGGTATTTACGACAGAGAGGCGCTGTAAATTCAGGTACCCTCTGCCCGTATTAAAATTGGGTCGCCACTTGGCGAGCCATTCGCCCGATTTACGACAGAGAGGCAGCGCAACAGCAGTTGCCCTCTGCTGGGGTTGTAAAATACGGTCGCGGCCCGTTAAGTCATTAATCCGTAAGGCCAAAGACGCGACCTGGCCACCAGACGGAAGGCCAAAGAAGAGGAAGGCTCAGGAGAATTGTCACATCTACTCACCAACACCTCGTGGAACGTGACTTCATATCATCAGCTGCCAAGGAAACCATACCCTCAAGAAACTCCAGGTAAGTAAACTATTTATTAAACCCAGTTTAATAGTAGGCAGCTTGCTGCACATAGTTGAGCTATTGAGTTCGTAGGTTTTTCAGGTTCACTGTTGTTTATTTTTCTGAGTCTATTCTTTTCTCTTTAGTGTAGTTAGTATCTATCAAAAAAAAAATCCAAAAAAATTTTATCCGTGTAGTCATGAATTCTAAATTTAAAATTGAAATTGACGATCCGCTGCCCCCGGTCTTCACGACCGAGAAAGAGGCAAGCTATAAGAGTGCCATCTATCGGTCCATTTTTTGAAGGGGCCGACAGTTGGAATCTCAAGTCGAGCACGGCTTTAGCCGGCTTGGCCAGAATCCTAGTTGATGCGTCTGTTCGGTGTTTCATGACAAAATAATTCGTCAAAAAAAAAAACCAGATAAAGACAATCAATTGGATCATGGATAAAAAAAAAACAAATCGTTAGTAACCCTTTGGCACAACAACCTCAAGCGTTTCCCGGAACCGTTGCGTTGTAAAATGTCCAAAAGAGGAAACTCAGGTTTATAAATCAAGTGGCTTCATGGTTTCGCAAGTGCAAGCAACCGATTGCGACAAGTTCCACCTACACTAGCAAACATGTGTGCCAATTGATATTGCATCCATTTCTAGCTTGTGTGTCATAATAGACCAAAGAAAGAAATTGAAGATGCCAAAATTTAGTTCAGTGGTAGAGTTTTTGGAGAAAATTAAATCTTTATCCAAAGACCACCAGCTGTTTTTCGTATAGCTACGTTTAAAGCTGAATATACATGGAAGAATTCGTTGGATCATCGAGGACGATGATTTTCCAAAAACCCCGCAGAAAGGAACGTTGGAAAACTATTCGACCCATTTCATCGACAACTGAATTCAACAGCAAACAGACCAGACCGATGGTGGCCGAGCAAAGTATAACCAACCAGCCAGCCAGCCCTCAGTTCAGCGTCATCAAGGAATTTCATCGGAACATTTCGGATAACGATGTAATTCATATTCATAATTTGTATTATAGATTGTTACGATTTAATCTAGTCTTTCTGCCAATTTTTATTGTCCCCAGTCTATATATTTGAGATATAATAAGTGCTCAAGAAAGAGCTCGTCTTGTCACATATAGTACCCGTACATATTGCTTGAGGACAAGCAATTTCTAAAAGGCCCGGAGGAGTTAAGGGTTCAGACTCCGCCCCTTTACTCGATCTTGAAACTAGGTCAACGGCCCGATCGAGGCGAATGCCCGATCGGTTGGCCAGTCGATGTGACCGAGAGGTTAGAGGGAGGTGACCCTCGGATCGCATATTTAGGCCCTCCGAGAGGATGGGGCCGAGGGGCACTCCGTGGTTTTGGGGTTCTATTTTATGTTTATTATTGTATTTTGCATTTTGGTATATCTAATAAAGACCTAAGGAGTATGTCGGAATTAGACGATCCAGAACCGGCCACGCCGCCAAATAAAACTTTATATTACTTTAGACTAAAGTCAAGCAGTTCCGAAAACAAAAAATTCTTACTTCATTTGGTTCTGCCGAGCACCCGTTATTTTCAACAAGGCCCTCCGGATCAAGTGGAGGGCCAGGGTGCCGGTCGACCAAGGTTCGGTCAAAGACGTACTGAGACCGGAACAAAAGGTGAGCACCCATTTTTATCTTCCAACGGCCCCCGGGCTCATTCGGGGGGCTAGGGTGCTCCACCTTAGTTTCTTGTTCCTTCATGGACTTGTTTGGCATTGGCTGAAAATAAAATTATATTACTTTAGATTAAATCAAAGTCAAGCAGTTCCCAAAACAAAAAAATCTTACCTCATTTGGTCCAGCCGAGCACCCGTTATTTTCCACAAGGCCCTCCGGATCAAGTGGAGGGCCAGGGTGCTCCGGTTTTGACCATCCATCAAAGTGGAACATCTTCCACTTTGATGGAAACGGGTGAGAGCACCCTTTTATGATCCAGAAGCCCCCCGGGCTCAGTCAGGGGGCGAGGGTGCTCTCTCCTTCCCAGTTCAATCTCGTTTGAACGAGATCTGCAAAAAATAAAATGAAAAATATAAATTCAACACGAAAACTTACCGGATTTCAGCCGAAAATTGACCAAAACAAGGGGAAGATGGCACCCTGTATTTCTTCCAAAGGCCCCCCGGGCTCATTCGGGGGGCTAGGGTGCTTATCTTCCCTTTAGACCGGTCTCCATCTGAAAATATAATCATATTATATCTACCATTTTCGTCCAAAAGCCACCAAAATCCAACAGCGTAAAAAAGCAATTGTTCTTTTCTCGGGCGCAGCTCGCAAAAATAGTTTTGGCGAACTTACTTTTTTCGCGTTCCAGTCGGTCGAACAAAGGTTTGGGGCAAGCATTTTTATCGACCCGTGATCTCGTTTCGTTGTTGCTTCTCGAGGTTGAATTGGACAAATTGCTAAAAAATTAGGATTATTGGAGGGACGCTGCGAAAAGCTTACGTGATTAGGCATGAGTGACTGCGCGATTGCGCCGTGTTGAGTTTTTGACCACTCAGTATGGATTTACTACTCTTCGACCTGAAAAAATCTTGATGTTATAAGATTGGGATAGTAAATATAGAGTTTGAAAAAATGCTAAATTGATAATTTTTAAAGGGTTTTTTGGGTAAAAATGGTAAAGATATCGAAAAAATTGACTTACGAGGCAGCCTGGGCTCTTGTGAAGTCCGATACGATCGGCTTGACATGTCCACGATGAGCCGTGAAGGAGGGTTTCTTTCTCTTCGTGGGCGTCTTCGTGGCGTGTGTTCGTCTGGGCAATTATCCTCTTCTTGAAGCACTGGACCAAGTCCTTGAAGTTCCCTCGACCTTCGCGGGGGCCGAGGCCGTTGAGGGTCGGCTGAGGGCTGGTAACAACATCGCCTTTTGCACTTCGCCATTCTTCGCAAAGGCCCAGGAGCCTCGTGGTTTTGTTCTTGGACCTCATATCCCTGATCTGCGGGTGGCGGCGGGTGTTGGGTCGCTGGGGGCTGGGTGACTTCGATCCTTAGGATCTCTGCTGTTGTCGGCGTTATTGACCACGCTGTCCTCAGCGTCATCAGCGGGCTTCTGGATCTCGATCTTTCGGCCCTTGGTGGCCGGCCGTCGGCGACTGCTGTCCGAAGGTGTTGCCGATGGCGGGCTTGCAGTTCGGCGACTTCCTTTTCTGCCGCTTCCTTCAGTGCCCTTTCTTCTTCGGTCTTTTTTGTGGCGACGGAGGCTGCTTCTTTGGCCTTCTTGGCCTCAACTTCCGCCTCTACCAGGGCTTCTTGGTAGAACTTGACCTTCTTCTCGAACGTCTCTTGCCGTTCCCAAAGTGTGCGGCATTGGGTCTTCCAGAAGTCTCTTTGAAATCGGAGGCGGTCGTTTTGATCCGCTAACGTCTCCTCGCAGGCTGCTCCCTCATCGAAGACTTCAAGTGACCTTATCGAGGGGACATCATGCAGTGTGGAGTGCTCCTCACTCGTACTGGAACTGCAGTCCGAAAAGCTGGAGAAGTCCATGTCCAATGATCTTGGGGCCGGTTCTGGGCCGAAGCCCGAGGGGCCAGTGGTTGGGAATGGCCCCTCTTTACCCTCCTCTGGGACGCCGGTTGGGTGCTGGCCAACCAGAGGAGGGGCCATTACCGCCGGCAGTTGTTCAGCCTGCGCGGAATGGGCTTGGCGCTCGGATGCTGGGCTCGAGCGGTGGCCGGAGGCCTGGCCGACGTTGTTTGGAGACACTGAAATCACCAAAATTAGACGAGAATTTTTAAAAAATATGGTTAAAACTGGTAACTCCATCGCTAAGGGCCCTAACATAGCCTATTCTCTCTATTTTCCCTATGTAATTTTTTGCTTTTAGGTGCAGATTCTGATGTTGGAGATCCATAATTTTGATTCTGAAGGCCACGGTGGCCGAAAATTCCATATTTCACTCAGTCCTGTGAAGAATTGTCCATTTGTCCAGAAAACAGTCCAATGATGTCGAAATTCCATCCAGATTGAAGTGCAGCGACGAAAACCGTATAAACCACGAGAAACTCAAGCTGATTTTTTATGTTGATGGCGACCGGAAGGCGTATTTATAGTGGTGATCAGGAAATCGACAGCAAAGCAGCTCGAAAGCTGCAGAACACTGAATGACCCGAAGATCGGATCAAACGACAACGTGGAACAAGGAGAACCTTCAAAAGGACCCCAGAAATTGAGATAAGACCAAATTAATGGCGGTGATCCGAAGCAAAATGATGGTTGCTCCTCGATGGAAGAAGATTAGGTGCGGATGGACAACCTTTCTATGATTTGTGGTGATGTCGACGTGAGAATCATGGAAAACGGGTAATGGATTGGATTCATGAAGATGAAAATGGTCAGCTTGGCGTTTGGATGTTCGAATTGAGCTAAAATAAGGTAAGTGTCGGGGTCAAATGGACGAAAACGTCTAAAAATTGGTGTAATTTCGGATTTTCTTCTTCTATTCGTCCTTTTAATGCTTCATTCCAGATATCCACTGATTGTTCGATAATTTCCAAGACGGTGTTGATGTCATGAATAATCTTCAGGCCAAGGAAATCATTGCTGAGGCTCGTTACTTCAATTGGAGCCCTGCCGTAAAAACAAATTTGATGGTGGATTGTTGATGGAATGGAATGTTTGCGTGATCGATGATCCTTCACCTTTTCTTTGCGAACAGTTTGAAGTCTTGTGAAGGTGGTAACTCCAACGAGTAGAGTCCAATGTCATGATGGTGAATTTTGATGTTGGTCAAGTCGGTAAGTCGGTTTGCTGGGTTTTTTTGATGTTAAGGCTGAGCGAAGATGATGAACACGGTGTTTTAGCCGATGTGTAATGTCTCTGAAAAAGTCCACGCGGCACGAAACCGTAAATTCGACGAGCCATAACGACGAGAAATCACGTCCACCTGGAGAACAGCACAGAACACCTCGAGAAGTCATTCAACAAGATTCGGACAAGAAGAACGAGGACAAAGGCCAAGAACAAACTTCAATAACGTCCATCCATGGACGAGACGAGCTCCCCACCCCTTGGGTCCAGCAGATGTCGATCTTCAACAGTCAGCCCATTACTTGAATTGGTCCAAATGAGAAGGTCCAGGTACTTCGTCGTGTCGTCATGTGGTGCTTTACACGAAGCCCCGGTTATAAGTCAGAAAAGTTGACACGGAGAATATAAAGTAATGTAAGTATTTATGCAAGTATTCAATACAATTTCAATTTTAAAAAGATATGGATATCCATTTCTAATGGTTGATGTTTCAGGGCTCCAACGGGACCGTGGATGGGAGAACATGGCCCATTGGGATGTTGATCTTGGTATTACTGGAACAACTGAAACGGCGGGAAGTTAAAAAAATCTTTACCTGGTCCATGGAGCATAATACAGATGGAAGTGGATGGCAATTGGATTAAAACACAAATGTAAGACCATTTCTGGCCATGAAAGTGAATAGTTTATTGTTTCTTTGGGAATTTTTGGCTCCAAAAATATTCCAAAATACTATGGATAATAATAATTTATGACCAATACAGTATGAGAACGACATTTATAATAATAAGATAGAATTTTAGGTGGTTCCCTGGACGACACAGTGCTGGAACTGCCAAAATTGTCAGAACTGATCCATCTTCGACTTGTTCCTGAGCCACTGAAGTGATGAGAATCTGTTTGGATGAATCGGAGTTGATTCCATTGTCCAGTGGAAGTTGATCATCATGGATAATATCCGATTCGACACCTCATTGATGAGAAGGATCTTCTTGATGTTGCATTTGGAGGCTTTGGTAAGATCTTTGAAGATTTTGGGACTGGGATCTTGGTCATGAGACATGAAAATTTTGGTGTGGGGAAAATTTTACGTTTTGGAGAGTTAAAAATAAGGTCAGAATTTATTAAGGGAGTGTAAAAAAGCTCAAGCTAGAAAGGCCGATCGTTTTTGGTCCGAACTTTTCTGAATTTTGTATAAAATACGGCAAAAATGACGAAAAATGCCCAAAATTTTTTCTTCCACCCACAATTTTTGTATGACCGACGTTGCTGGTCCGGAACACTGTAAAACTCAAAAAATAGACTTACCAGGCTTCCAAGATTCAAATTTAGCAGGAATCCATCCATCGCGTTGTAACAAATGATATCTAGACCAATTTCGGCTGTATTTCAAAATAACAGAGTGATATCCGGCGGGCTTTACAGTAATTCCCACCAGCCATGGAATTACTTTCTATAGAAAGCTTTCTATTCTCATATTCGTCTGGAATATTACACTCCGAGGCCTATTGGTGTATTTTCAAGGCCATTAGGCCTAGTTATTGTCCTTTTTGGCGGGATTTACGGTAGAAACCCACCAGCCAAAAATGGATCGTTAAAATTTATTATTTTTGGGATGAATTTCTAATATAAAGAAGTCTTGAGTTTCAAATTGAATACACTGAGGCAATTAGAGCTCAAAGCCCACTGGCTTGATCCCTTTTTTGAGTATTTAACTCAAAAATTATGTTGTACTAGACATCAGATATCAGGACCGAGGGAAGTTTTAATATTTTTGCATATTACTGCCCCTAAGCTCAGAGTAAATCATCTCAAATCAACTTAAAACCATGTTGCGGGTCTCAAATCAGGAATTTCGTCACCAAAATACCCAAAAAAAATCCCGTGTCATCATCTACTACAATATCATTATTTTAGGATTTTTGGATCAAAGATGGTGTTAAAGAAGTCAAAAGATGTCAAAAGAAATGCCCAGATGACTGTGGCAAATCACCTCATGATGACGGATTTCCTGGGATTTTGTTGAGAAATTCCCAACTTTGAAATCCGCTTAGAATCCCCAAAAAAACCCCGAAACAACCCCAAAGTCCCCTGGACTTACACGTCGACCGTTCCCCAACTCCAACCGCCGGGACGGCAGCGGTGGTTGGAGTTGGGGCCATCGCCGGAATGGCGGGTTGTTCGCCGAAGCGGGAGGTGGTGCTGTCGCTGCTACTCATGTTGATCTAGCGTGAGCTTTATACCAGTTTCCGATTGGAACTTACCGGTAAATGAGAAAAATGAAAACGAAAATTTGGTGAATTTCGAATATGCAAATTTTGTTTTTTTTTTTGTGAGAATTCGTGGCAGAATTTGATTTTTTTTCTTCCAATTTTATTCAATTTTTTTGTTGGCAAAATTCTTGAAACGTTGCAACGCGTTGTGATTTTTCGGAGGATTTCATTGAATTTTGTGGGTATCTGGACGACCATGGACAGAATGTTTGGGATGCATGCCACATTTTTGGTGAGTTTTTGATGATTTCTGTTTTATTACTTTTGATTTTGATGCATTCTTTAATGTTTATGGATTTTTAGATTGTTTTGTGCCCACGGTAATCCCCTATGCTCAGATTCAACATTGTATCAACTGCTGGACGTGTGTCATCATTTGGTGATCTAAATCGTCGATGAAGACATCTGAAAACCGTCGAAGTTGTATGGCTTCAATTTGGATGATGCTTGTGGAGATCTAACTTGAAAACGAATCGATATGTAGGTAAACGTGGATTGTATTATGAATAAATTGTGAATGAAGTAATTTCTTGGAGTATATTCGCAATGTTTGAGGCTGAAAATGTCTGGAAGGGACGAGGAGGATAGCTGATATAATTTACTGTAGTACATGTGGATAGTAATGAATTGTTTATCAGATATATTATATTTGAAAAAGGTAAGCGTTGATTTACCTAGTACAATGTCAACTGGTTGAAACAGTTAAGTTTTCTTATGGTTACAGAGGTCGACAGTCGTTGAAATGTTCTTCATCTTTTGTGGAGCTCGTTTGTACACTTTACTGCCTTCAAGTTTTGCCAATTCTCTCTTTATATGTCATCAAATTCGATGTCAAGTAGAATATTAGGACTGCCGATTTCGCCTGATTTTCTAAAATTTTGAGGGAGTCCCGTGGTACACGATGAATTTTTGTCCCAGATGTTATTCAAAAAACATAATAGCTGAAGACTGTTTAAAGTTGTAATTCTTTATTTATAAGGTCCAACCTCTGACGTCTAGTGCAATTTAAAATTTCCTTTCAAAAATTTTTTATTATAAAATTTTGCAAAGACGGCAGTAAAGAAGAATGCTAAAGGCGTATGACATTTATATTCCAAGTTTAAAATCCTGACATTTTGGATGCACTTTTCCCTCCAAATTCATGAGATCCACGCCTCACAGTCAGCAGGCCTCTTCTCGCACAGTCTCCAACATAGTTGTGAATGGGTCAGCAGTAACAGGGCTCCTGGAGTCGGTGGTTCTGCCGGTTTCTTCGGTTCTTTTCCTCGCATTTACAAACTTGCACCGTGCAGTCTTTTAGGAACCTCTGAATCCAAGAGTCCCCCCATGTCGAAAATGACAGGTAAATTGATCGCGTCCCGACATTTCGGGTCAGAGACAGCTCCAATGACATATCGGGTCAACCATACCGTTTAACATTTTCGCTTCGGGACTTGGGAGAAGGATTTTTTGAAGAATTCGAACAAATTTTTGAAATGAGCTCGCTTTTATTTGCATACAATTTACGACTACCTTCTTACTCCACTCTCTGGCACTGTCTGTGTTTAAATCCCGCGCTTCCAGTTAAAAACATAAACAATGGATACGATTTTCTTATTTGCTCTTTGTTTATGAACACTATTTTCCTAAAAATTTGTAAAATAAACCTCAATTCTCCAAAGAATCCTTTCCCCAGTCCCAAAGCGAAAACGTTTCAAAATTTTTTCAAATTAACCAAAAAATTCTTTTTTCCCAGTCCCGAAGCGAAAGTATTAAACGGTATCGTTGACCCGACCTGCCGCGACCTGAGTTGTCCCTGACCCGAAACGGCGTAGCGCCAAATTGATTAGCGTTGAGGAGTCGAACAAACCGGAGCCGCAGAAGAAAAAACTGGCCTATCAAGCGATGATTGAAGAAGGAATTGGGGATCTGGATGAGGCGTTCAGTTCGGATGATGATGAAATACCAAGAGAATTGCTTTTGTCGAATTCTAGCATCCAGAGATCGGGCAGGTCAGAAGCTCCAGGCCCCTTGAATCAGCCTTCGACATCGAGGTTTCGCATGCGAAAATTGTCAGGACTTGTGAACGCGCGTAGTACCACTAGTCGTTCCAGGAAGTGCGTATACATTTTTCGCGGCGCATAGTCCATTTTTCTTCTTTTTTTGCACCGTGCGATTGTTGTCCCGCGCGAAAAATGCGCCGCGATACAGTTTAGATAAAAAAGCCTACGTCGCTTCGACTTTCGAATTGCACGTTGTAAAAGGTCAAGCGCACAATGCGGAAAAATTGCGGCGAAAGGTCCACGCACTTTCTGGAACGACTAGCACTACAACCTCCAAACGTCCCTCCAACACCCGACCGCCGGATCCCGGGAACTTACCGATAAAGATCAGCTCACAGGAAAAGTTTACCCCGAATGCGACGTTCAGATTTTGACGAAACTTGGCACAAATTTAGAACAATTTTACAAATTTAGAATAATTTTTTCTAAAATACATGCGAGAATTCTACATCGCGCTTGGCAGAAACTACCGAGATTTTCAGACCAAAAGCCGGCAAAAATTTTAGACTTTTTGCCGAATTTCAGCACGAAAAGTTTCACACATACTTGTAACATAGAGGGTAAGGTTTCCACAAAAAATCAATTTTTTCCGCACAAAACTACCGCAGTTATGGCCAAAAGTGTTTTTCTGTTTGACCGCTCTCCACGTTTAGTGTGCTCTCTCGGTGGCAAAAATCGTTCAATATCTCGATGGCGCTCGCAAAACGTGAGGTAAAACATTCAGGAATTGATATCTAACGCGTGTGCAAAATTTTAAAAAATCTGAGCGTCGCACTTCGGGTACTTCCCTTGACTGATTTCCCATTTTCGGCTTTGGGACACGATTCAAACAATACAATACCGATAAAAAATGGCGCTTTTACGGCCGAACAAAGGATAAACAACCCTCACGAACCCAACTGTTCTTCCTGGACCTAATCCCCTGCTCCGTATGCATCCTACCCTCCACGATGCCAGTCTCCTAGGTCGAAAACGCCCAATGTCCCAGAGGATAGAAGTATCTAGGTCGAGCCATAATTCAACGCCTTTCAGAGCCAAAAACTAAAAGAATTCTAGGTACCCCTCACTTCCGCGTCCTGACATTTCGCGTCAGGGACAGTTCGGGTCAACGACATTTCGGGTCAACAATACCGTTTAATATTTTTGCTTCGGAATTTGGGAAAAAGGATTTCTCGGAGAATTGTAACAAAATTTTGAACTGTTTTCGCTTCGGGATTAAATCCCGTGCTTCCAGTTAAACACATAAACAATGGATACGATTTTCTTATTTGCTCTTCGTTTATACCCCCTATTTTCCTAAAAAAAAATCGAAGATAAACCTCAATTCTTTAGAAAATCCTTTTTCCCCACTCCCTAAGCAAAAACATTAAAAAATTTTGTTCCAATTCTCCAAAAAATCCTTTTCTCCAAGTCCCGAAGCGAAAATATTAAACGGTATCGCCGACCCGACCTCTCGTGACCCGAGTTGTCCCTGACCCGCAACGCCGTAAAGCTCTCACTTCCAGACTGAACCATCAATCTCTAAGATATACGCTTTCTACCGGCCCAGTAATAAGAATTTCGTCCTAGGTTGCCCAACTACAGCACCAGCCCAATTCCGATTACTTACCTTCTCCGCCCCTTTCTATCATTTCCCCTTGCCCTTTCAAAGCAAGCAAGATAAAATAAAAAAGAAACAAATAGATCAAATTAAAATCGTAGGTTCTTCTTCTTCTCGGCTGGAAAGTTGCCTGGACAGGTTTAATGGGACTTGAAGGAATCTGTAAGGAAATGGAGATTAGAAGACTAAAAAATCAAAAATAAGGTCAACAATCTCATGAGTAAAACAGGGATCTCAAAAAATTGTAATCATAGTGACTAAAATTCCACCAAAAATAGTAGTCATACACTTTTGTCGCATTTAAATTTACTTTATCCCCCTTATTTCACATTAGAGACCAAAACGTCAAACCGAAAGACACCTGATGTCAGAGACAAAATCAGTGGGTCAAAAACGTTCACGATCCTTAAAAAAATACGAATTTACTTGATCTTTGATCGGAATACCCCTGTAATCCACCAACGGAATTTAAGATCAGTTTAAAAATCGCCGCTTACTTTTTAATTTTCTTGCATTGTGCAGACTAAACGATGTTCTTGATATCCACCGCTCCACACTCAAATTTCTTCAAGCTTGTACCAATTGTCATTCATATACAAACTTGGACGGGCGACCTGGAAGCAATGTTTTACTACAAACGGAGAAGATTTGAAAACTGAATCTCATCAACAACATAAAGCCCTTACAAATCTTTCATAATCAAGTCCTTTACCACTAAATCAGACAATTCATGCAGAAAAAAGTGCCTCTATCAACTTTTACCACCAAAACGATCAAATATTACACCAGAGAGCTAAAAAAATCCGTCATGACGACGAATTTGGCAAAATACAGGGTGGTTCAGCCGAAGCTTTCATCCTTAGTTTAAGTATTTCTCCGCCAGTAAAGCACCAATTTCTATAAAATTTATACTAGAAACACAAGTTTCTAACATCCTTCCATGAGACAAATGCGTATTCCAAAATAACCAATCACAAAACAAAACAGCACCTATCTAGACTTTGCAAGCTTTTAAACCCAGGTCTAAACCGTTTAAACCAGCAAAAATCAGAGCTTTGAAAAACCCCGTCTCTACCGTAACCATCCAAAAATATGTCGTAATGACTGGCTTTTACACAGCTAACAAGGGAAGTACCCCAAGTGCGACGCTCAGATTTTCTTTAAATTTTGCACACGCGTCGGGCATAAACTAAATATCGATTCCTGAAAGCTTTAGGTCGCGCTTTGCAAGCGCCACCGAGATATGGAACTGTTTTTGTCGGCGAGAGAGTACGCGAAACGCGGAGAGCGGTCAGAGAGAAAAACGTTTTTTGGCCATAACTTTGGCAGTTTCGTTCGGAAAAATTTTATTTTTTGTAGAAAAATTATCCTTTACGGTAGAAATAGGTATGAAACTTTTCGTGCCTTCGGCAAAGTGTAAATTTTTTGCCGACTTTCGATTTAAAAATCTCGGTTGTTTTTGCAAAGCGCGAGCTAGGATTCTCGCATATATTTTAGAAAAAATTATTCTAAATTTGTGCCAAGTTTCATCAAAATCTGAGCGTCGCACTTGGGGTACTTCCCCTGTAAATTCTTTTTCACTTAAAATGTTCCTAGTGTCCCCTTCTAATACCCGATTCCTGAATTGATCACTCCCAATTAACATACCTTTCTTATCTTCTGCAGAGCTTCAGGACACCATTGATTTCTCCAACTTCTCCAGGGCTCCAAGGAACGGATTCTCGATGGTTTCCATGAAAATAAATAATATTAGAAGTAGAATTGGCAGTATCTGGACTCATTACGAGAATAAAGGCCTACAATTGGGAAAAAAACAACTTACTTTAATCACCAAAGCAGGCTTTGATGATTGGGTGAAGGGGAGGGAGTGGGAGGGGAAAGGGAAGGAGGGTGGTGGGTGTGGTAGGGGACGGAGAGAGTGAGAGAAATGTGGTGGTGGGAGGGGAAGTGATGTGGCCTCTTCTTTTTTCTTTTTAACTTTCCTCTTTTTTCCTTTTTTATCTTTTCCTTTTTTTCTTATTTTTTATTTTTTTATTTTTTTTTTCTTTTTTAGAGGTATCCGTTGCATGGGGCTTGGAGATATCTGCAAATTAAAAGAATAAATTGAAGAACCCTAAAAAAAGAATCGACAATAATCTCAAGCCATCTGTAATTTCCTCAACTACTAATAAACCACGAAACTTACATTCTGAAGAGAGTGTGATGGGGGAGGATTGTGGTGGGAGTGGAATGGAGGAGGGGTGCGGCACGTCAAAGAAAAAGTGAAAAAACAAGGAACCTCGGATCATTGATTTTTGACGAAATGTCGCTGAATTATTGAGTCACAAAAGAAAACTTTCCCAGAGAATTTCGAGAAAAATGTTTTTTCGAAGAGGAAAATAATTTTTCAAGCTCGATAATTCTGTGGCACTTCGCAAAAAAATCAATGATCCGAGATTCCTTGTTTTTTCAATTTTCTGAAAGAATTGTTTTGACGTGTGCGGTGCGAGTGGGAGGGGAGGATGGGTGTTGCAAATGGAAAGGGGTGTGGCGGGAGTGAAGGTGATGTTTAGGTTTCTGAAAATATATCCCTTGGTTTGAGAAAAATCCAGGCTAAAATCAAGGGTGAAACAACAACTTACATAGCCAAAAATGGGTGGTAAACATTTGGGGTAGGGCAGTGAAATCTTGGAGCAAAAATCTGAAAATAAAATAATCAATTGAAGAACCACAAAAAAAGTGACAACGATCCGAACAATTCATATTGAAAAACAACCAAAAAAACAAGCAACAACAATCTCAAGAAGAATTCCCTAATATTTCCTCAACTACCAAGAAAAAGCCATCAAAACTTACATTCCATGATGTTTCTGTCGTTGGTTTGAGTCTCGGCCATATGGTGCCGTCCTGGGCCGAAGTTGGGAGTGATGCTGTTGAATTTGCGTTGTTTTCCAAGGATCCATTGCAATCCGGGAGGATTTTCTGCAAATATAGATCACATAATTTGAGATTAAAAAATAAGCTAAAAAGGTATAAAACGATAACTTACGTAGTTAAAAAAAAATGGTGATAAATCATATACGATGAGGGGAAAATTTACATTAGGGGTACGCAGTGAAATCTTGGAGCAATATCTGAAAATAAAATAATCAATTGAAGAACCACAAAAAAAGTGACAACGATCCGAAAAATTCCCTAATATTTCCTCAACTACCAAAAAAAGCCATCAGAACTTACATTCCATGATGTTTCTGACGTTGGTTTGAGTCTCGGCCATATAGTGCCGTCCTGGGCCGAAGTTGAGGCATTGAAAGTAGCAGTCGGGAAATGTGCTCCAAAGATCCACTGGTTTGACAGATGGGTCGTAAACTAATAGGCGAATCAAATTTTACAAGAAAAGGATAAGGAAAAAATTATTTTTTTATATTGTTCTTTTTTTTATTTTTTTTTCTTTTTAATTTTTTTTTTTTCTTTTTTTATTCTTTTTTTCTATTTTTACTATTTTTTCTTTTTTAAAGGTATCCGTTGCATGGGGCTTGGAGATCTCTGCAAATCAAAAGAATAAATTGAAGAACACTCAAAAAAAGAATTGACAATAATCTCAAGCCATCTATACAGTGACCGGATCCAATGGCAAAAAACGTCTCATTTTGCATCCCGAAACGCATCAAAATGTCTCCAAACCCTTCCGTTCTCTAAGCTAAAAAACCCCGATTTGAAGAGCCCGCCGTGAAGGAAAGGGCGCGCTTTTCAAAGCGGAGTTTTTCAGCTTACAGAAGGGAATGGTTTGGGGTCATTTTGGTACCTTCCGGGATGCAAAAGGAGACGTTTTATGCCATTGGATCAGGTCCCTCACTATAATTTCCTCAACTACCAATAAACCACGAAACTTACATTCTGAAGAGAGTGTGATGGGGGAGGAGTGAGGTGGGAGTGGAATGGAGGAGGGGTGCGGTGCGAGTGGGAGGGGAGGATGGGTGTTGCAAATGGAAAGGGGTGTGGCGGGAGTGAAGGTGATGTTTAGGTTTCTGAAAATATATCCCTTACAAGGGCTCGGCAAAACCTCGTCCCCTGGTTTCTTCTTGAAACATACACCATTTGAAAGAGCGCAAAAAACTGGTCTAGGATCACCTTCAATTAGCTGCTAAGATTCTCTTACGTGCTAGCTAGCGGACGTTTTTAAAAAAATCCCAATTAGATTTTGGGACTCTTTTCTTCTAAGAGGTCAACGAGATCGAATAATCACTTTTCATAAAAATATTAGTCACCTATGACATTGAACGCTTCCACCAAGTTCAAAAAATATAAAATTTTTATCAAGCTTGAAACTCTCAGGTCGATGTTCACAATGACTGGTAACGCGATGTTTTAGGTCCTGTAACCCAAGCAAACTAGGAGGTTTTAAACATGTAGACCGTTTTCAGACTCGTTTTTCATGTGCTTTCCATAAATGGGCTTTCCTAGTAAAAAATTTTAAAGTCGTTGAAAGTTTCGTCCATCTTGGGTTCCCGCTGCAGCCCCAAGTACCCCCTATATCAAAAAAAATCAAAAAAAGTTGTCGATTTTTCGTACAAAACAAATCCATGGTACCTCAAAAATCAATTTCAAAATTAAAGGCTATCTGCCAGCCCTGCTCATTCATAATAGCCAAAAAAATCAAAAAATTCAAAAGGGGATTCGAACCTGGTCTGCAGGTCCTCCTTGTACAGCGCCTTACCCCACTCGACCACCGAAGCACTGCTCCGCTGTGCTTTTGAAATCGATCGCCTTTGTTTTCTCGAAAGAAGGGTGAGGCTAGCTTAGAACTAAAAAATGCTCACTAGCTAGCACGTAAGTGAATCTTAGCAGCTAATTAAAGGTGATCCTAAACCAGTTTTTTGCGCTCTTTCAAATGGTGTATGTTTCAAGAAGAAACCAGGGGACGAGGTTTTGCCGAGCCCTTGTTAGTTTGAGAAAAATCCAGGCTAAAATCAAGGGTGAAACAACAACTTACATAGCCAAAAATGGGTGGTAAACATTTGGGGTAGGGCAGTGAAATCTTGGAGCAAAAATCTGAAAATAAAATAATCAATTGAAGAACCACCAAAAAAACAAGTGACAACAATCTCATGAAGAATTCCCTAATATTTCCTCAACTACAAAAAAAACCATCAAAACTTACATTCCATGTTGTCTAAATCGTTGGTTAGGGTCTCGGCCATGTAGGTGCCGTCCTGGGCCGGAATTGGGACATTGAAAGTAGGGTCGGGAAATGTGTTCCAAAGATTCACTGATTTGAGAGCTGGGTTTCTGAAAAGATAGGTCATATAATTTAAGAAAAATCCAGGAAAATTCAAGAACGAAATAACAACTTACATTGATACAAATGGGCAGTAAACTATTAGGCGAGTAAAATTAGAAGAGAAGAAGAGAGAAGAAGGATACGGGTTACTTAAAAAAATATTTTTTTTTTTTTTCTTTTTTTTATTTTTTTCTTTTTTTTAATTTTTTTCTTTTTTTTTATTTTTTTCTTTTTTTTTAATTTTTTTCTTTTTTTTATTTTTTCTTTTTTTTTTAATTTTTTTTTTTTATTTTTTTCTTTTTTTTATTTTTTTCTTTTTTTTCATTTTACATCCGAAAAGCAGTGAAGAAATCTTGGAGCAATATCTGAAAATACAGAAATCAATTGAAGAACCATCAAAAAACAAGTGACAACAATCCGAACAGTTCCCTAATACTAGTCCGTTCGTAAAGTCGCTGGAATGTTTTCGGCGACATGCACTCCGCGAAACCGAAAGTTCACTTTGCAATTTTTGGCTTTTTGCACAGTGCAATAGGCTTTTTGGGGCTGTCGCTCGCACCCTGAGTTTTCTTGCACAGTGCACGTCGCCGAAATCATTCCAGCGACTTTACGAACGGACTAGTATCCTCAACTACAAAAAACCATCAAAACTTGCATTCCATGTTGTCTAAATCGTTGGTTAGGGTCTCGGCCATGTAGGTGCCGTCCTGGGCCGGAATTGGGACATTGAAAGTAGGGTCGGGAAATGTGTTCCAAAGATTCACTGATTCGAGAGCTGCGTTTCTGAAAATATAGATCATATAAAGCGGGAGATAAAAGATTTTCTGAAAAATTTTTGAAATTTTTCTGTTTTCACTTTTTTTAAAAAAAAAAAGTAAATTTTGAAAAATTTCCGGAAATTTTCGATTTCTTAAAGTCAAAAAACATTCTTACTCCGAACGACAAATTTTTGGAAAGTTGGATCAAAAATGGCTCGCCAAAAGTTCGATCCGGAAAGTCGAAACAAAAATGGCTCGCCCATTTTGGCTGGTGAGTAAGACGCCGTTTTTACTCACCAATTTATTTTCTTCAAAACTATTTTTGTGAGCTGCGCCCTTGATCACCCGGGAATTCCCAGATGTGTCAAATTTCTCCCCCGTAAGAAAATTATTTTTCCCCTCTTTTCGATATAGCCTGTTTCTACATGAAGATGGCATGAATACTAGACAAGTAAGTTGTTATTAGTAAGAGCAGGTGTTCTTCTTTCAATTGACACCAAATATTTTCCTTTTATTTCAGGGAAAGGTACAGAATTTCTCCAATTCGTAAACCTAGTTTTTCACGACCATGGATAATGTAAGTGCGCTTATCTCGTTCTAGAGGACACCGCACTCTTTAGTTTTGTTATATTCTCCATCTATCAAACGCCATCAATTTCGATTTCTAGGTGTCATGTACAATATCGAAATCTGCTCAGATCTGCCGGATTTTTGCCCGAATGCGTTCTAAACTGAGGTAATAACGTAATAAGGCTCAAATAACGTTGTTGCAATAACTTGAAGATAGTTTGCATAGGTTTTACTTTCGTATAACATACTTTTTGGAAAGTTAGTATAGTATTTGAATTTTTTAAGTCGTTATTCCTCAAAATTTATGGGGTTTCATACATATAGAATATACATGAGAGTGGGGTCTCCTCTAAACGTTTCCCGACTTAGAATCTTGACGTCGTAGCAAAAAACGAGATAATCTCACTTACATTATCCATGGTCATGAAACTTTACGAATTGGAAAAATTTTGTACCTTTCTCTGAAATAACAGGGAATTTTTTGGTGTCAAATGAAAAACGTACATCTCCTCTTGCTAATGCTAACTTACTTGATCACTTTTCAGCCCATCTTCGTGGAGAACATAGCTTCACAACATCGCACAAACATAAAAACAATTTTTTCGTAAGAGAAAAACTTGACACATCAGGGAAAGACTTGGCGTCAACCTTGCAACCTGCAGTGCGGGGCCAAAAAGAGGAAGAAAGTAAAAACAAGCTCTGACTTTCCTCGACTCCGAGCGGGGAGTAAGATCCGGTCCTACTCCCGACCTTGAAGTCGGAAAGCCAAACAAAAAATTGACTTTTTTTTGCATTTTCCGGAAAGTAAACTGAAAATTTACTTTTTTTTAAAAAAACAAGTAAAAACAGAAAAATTTCAAAAATTTTTCAGAAAATCTTTTATCTCCCGCTTTATATAAAAAAAATTGAAGAACCACCAAAAAAAAAAAAAAAAACAAGTGACAACAATCTGAAGAATTCCCTAATTTTCTCAACTACCAAAAAACCCAGCTTACATTCCATGTTGTGTAAATCGTTGGTTTGGATTTCGGCCATGTAGGTGCCGTCCTGGGCCGGGAGTGCCGTTGTTAAATTGGTGCAGTTTTCGAAGGATCCATTGCTTTCCGGGGTCATTTTCTGCAAAGATGAATCATATAATTTGAGATTAAAGACTACGCTAAAACAAGTATAAACCGACAACTTACATGTTAAAAAGCCGTGATAAATAAAATACAAATACAATAAATGAGACAAATACAATAGATACAATAGACAATAGAAATTAAATACAAATACAATAAATGAGACAAATACAATAGATACAATAGGCAATAGAAATTAAATACAAATACAATAGATAAATACAATAGATGAGGGGTCAATTAAAAAAGCTTTTTTATTTATTTTTTCATTTTTTACGTTTTTTTGTTACTTTTTTATTTTTTCTTTATCTTATTTTTTCAAAAAATATAATTTTTTGCCTTTTTTATTATTTTTTTGGCTCTTCTTTTTTTTTGATTTTTTGGCCTTTTCATTTTTTGGCTCTTCTTTTTTTTGGCCTTTTCAATTTTTTTTTGGCTCTTCTACTTTTTGCCTTTTAATTGTTTTTTCTCTGTCATCCTTTCGGTGGTGTGTATCGAGAGAGGATCTCTGAAAAATAAAAAATTAACACGTAAAAACACCAGTGACAGCACTATAAAAATATCTCTAAACCCCTTGACAAAGGTGGTCAGTGTTTCCTAAAGCGTATCTGTCCCGGATAATTATTCGAGAGCCGGCTCACATCAACGACGCAACAATTCAAAAAAACAATTCACTTTCACATTTTTTTCAATTTGGCCACATTTTTTTCCACTTGGCCACATTTTTTTCAATTTGGCCACATTTTTTCCCACTTGGCCACATTTTTTTCTATTTGGCCACATTTTTTCCCACTTGGCCACATTTTTTTCAATTTGGCCACATTTTTTCCCACTTGGCCACATTTTTTTCCACTTGGCCACATTTTTTTCAGTTTGGCCACATTTTTTTCCACTTGGCCACATTTTTTTCAATTTGGCCACATTTTTTTCAATTTGGCCATATTTTAGCAGAACGCCAAGGTTTTTATTCAATTTGGGGGGTTCAGTCAGGGGGGGTTCCCTCGAACAGGGGTGAGGGGTTCAGTCAGGGGGGTCCAGTCATTGGGGGGTTCAGTCAGGGGGTTCAGTCAGGGGGTTCAGTCATGGGGGTTCAGTCAGGCATTCGCCAAGATTTTTGGCATTCGGTTTTTTAAGGACCTCTAATGTTTTAGCTGACTGTGCAGTGGGTAATGCACAAAATAACATGAACCTGCAATTAAAACATTGCCAATGACTCATAATTTTTAAATTAGTAAATCTTGGCGCCTTTGGGCCACCGGGTTCGCGGAAAAACGCCAGAGAAAATCGAATTTTTGCGAACTTTGCGGCCCAATAACTTGTCTAAAACTATTGAAGCATGCGATTGCAACGATCTTCAGAATATCGTATTCTAAGATAGCATGCAAAGTTTGAAGCAAATCGGTCAAACAATTAAAAAGTAGATTCGGTTTTAAGTTTTTTACCTTATGGACCATATTACTTTATTCAAGTTTTAATATCCAACAGCGTTAAATAGTCAAATAAATGACCCATATTATCTCATAACATTTTGTAAACGGAGATTGATTGCAAAAATTTCAACTCCCAGGCCGAAAAAAAGTTTTGCCTTATACATAGTAGCATACCTGATCCTATGCCAAAAATAATAGAAGTTTAAGACTGAAGTCAAAGTTTTAAAACCATCTATGTGAATTGAGATAGCTTTCTAAGGCGACGCTCAACTTTTGGAGTTGGTTTCAACCTTGCTGCGCCGATTTCAAAAATGGTCACTATCACCTAAAACAAGGTTCTCACAACAGCTTCCAAAATGGTGCGGATGTCAGTAATTATGCTCTTACTGACTTTTTAGATCAAAGTGGACATAGCTGAGTCAAAATATACCGATTTTTAAAATATTATTTTAGTCACCTACATCGCAGTTTTTTTGGAATTTTAAAAGAACTACTCCAATTATGCTCATAGGAAACCGAATTCAGGCAATTGCGCCTTACCCCACTCGACCACCGAAGCACTGCTCCGCTGTGCTTTTGAAATCGATCGCCTTTGTTTTCTCGAAAGAAGGGTGAGGCTAGCTTAGAACTAAAAAATGCTCACTAGCTAGCACGTAAGTGAATCTTAGCAGCTAATTAAAGGTGATCCTAAACCAGTTTTTTGCGCTCTTTCAAATGGTGTATGTTTCAAGAAGAAACCAGGGGACGAGGTTTTGCCGAGCCCTTGTTAGTTTGAGAAAAATCCAGGCTAAAATCAAGGGTGAAACAACAACTTACATAGCCAAAAATGGGTGGTAAACATTTGGGGTAGGGCAGTGAAATCTTGGAGCAAAAATCTGAAAATAAAATAATCAATTGAAGAACCACCAAAAAAACAAGTGACAACAATCTCATGAAGAATTCCCTAATATTTCCTCAACTACAAAAAAACCATCAAAACTTACATTCCATGTTGTCTAAATCGTTGGTTAGGGTCTCGGCCATGTAGGTGCCGTCCTGGGCCGGAATTGGGACATTGAAAGTAGGGTCGGGAAATGTGTTCCAAAGATTCACTGATTTGAGAGCTGGGTTTCTGAAAAGATAGGTCATATAATTTAAGAAAAATCCAGGAAAATTCAAGAACGAAATAACAACTTACATTGATACAAATGGGCAGTAAACTATTAGGCGAGTAAAATTAGAAGAGAAGAAGAGAGAAGAAGGATACGGGTTACTTAAAAAATATTTTTTTTTTTCTTTTTTTATTTTTTTCTTTTTTTTAATTTTTTTCTTTTTTTTTATTTTTTTCTTTTTTTTTAATTTTTTTCTTTTTTTTTATTTTTTCTTTTTTTTTAATTTTTTTTTTTTATTTTTTTTCTTTTTTTTATTTTTTTCTTTTTTTTCATTTTACATCCGAAAAGCAGTGAAGAAATCTTGGAGCAATATCTGAAAATACAGAAATCAATTGAAGAACCATCAAAAAACAAGTGACAACAATCCGAACAGTTCCCTAATACTAGTCCGTTCGTAAAGTCGCTGGAATGTTTTCGGCGACATGCACTCCGCGAAACCGAAAGTTCACTTTGCAATTTTTGGCTTTTTGCACAGTGCAATAGGCTTTTTGGGGCTGTCGCTCGCACCCTGAGTTTTCTTGCACAGTGCACGTCGCCGAAATCATTCCAGCGACTTTACGAACGGACTAGTATCCTCAACTACAAAAAACCATCAAAACTTGCATTCCATGTTGTCTAAATCGTTGGTTAGGGTCTCGGCCATGTAGGTGCCGTCCTGGGCCGGAATTGGGACATTGAAAGTAGGGTCGGGAAATGTGTTCCAAAGATTCACTGATTCGAGAGCTGCGTTTCTGAAAATATAGATCATATAAAGCGGGAGATAAAAGATTTTCTGAAAAATTTTTGAAATTTTTCTGTTTTCACTTTTTTTAAAAAAAAAAAGTAAATTTTGAAAAATTTCCGGAAATTTTCGATTTCTTAAAGTCAAAAAACATTCTTACTCCGAACGACAAATTTTTGGAAAGTTGGATCAAAAATGGCTCGCCAAAAGTTCGATCCGGAAAGTCGAAACAAAAATGGCTCGCCCATTTTGGCTGGTGAGTAAGACGCCGTTTTTACTCACCAATTTATTTTCTTCAAAACTATTTTTGTGAGCTGCGCCCTTGATCACCCGGGAATTCCCAGATGTGTCAAATTTCTCCCCCGTAAGAAAATTATTTTTCCCCTCTTTTCGATATAGCCTGTTTCTACATGAAGATGGCATGAATACTAGACAAGTAAGTTGTTATTAGTAAGAGCAGGTGTTCTTCTTTCAATTGACACCAAATATTTTCCTTTTATTTCAGGGAAAGGTACAGAATTTCTCCAATTCGTAAACCTAGTTTTTCACGACCATGGATAATGTAAGTGCGCTTATCTCGTTCTAGAGGACACCGCACTCTTTAGTTTTGTTATATTCTCCATCTATCAAACGCCATCAATTTCGATTTCTAGGTGTCATGTACAATATCGAAATCTGCTCAGATCTGCCGGATTTTTGCCCGAATGCGTTCTAAACTGAGGTAATAACGTAATAAGGCTCAAATAACGTTGTTGCAATAACTTGAAGATAGTTTGCATAGGTTTTACTTTCGTATAACATACTTTTTGGAAAGTTAGTATAGTATTTGAATTTTTTAAGTCGTTATTCCTCAAAATTTATGGGGTTTCATACATATAGAATATACATGAGAGTGGGGTCTCCTCTAAACGTTTCCCGACTTAGAATCTTGACGTCGTAGCAAAAAACGAGATAATCTCACTTACATTATCCATGGTCATGAAACTTTACGAATTGGAAAAATTTTGTACCTTTCTCTGAAATAACAGGGAATTTTTTGGTGTCAAATGAAAAACGTACATCTCCTCTTGCTAATGCTAACTTACTTGATCACTTTTCAGCCCATCTTCGTGGAGAACATAGCTTCACAACATCGCACAAACATAAAAACAATTTTTTCGTAAGAGAAAAACTTGACACATCAGGGAAAGACTTGGCGTCAACCTTGCAACCTGCAGTGCGGGGCCAAAAAGAGGAAGAAAGTAAAAACAAGCTCTGACTTTCCTCGACTCCGAGCGGGGAGTAAGATCCGGTCCTACTCCCGACCTTGAAGTCGGAAAGCCAAACAAAAAATTGACTTTTTTTTGCATTTTCCGGAAAGTAAACTGAAAATTTACTTTTTTTTAAAAAAACAAGTAAAAACAGAAAAATTTCAAAAATTTTTCAGAAAATCTTTTATCTCCCGCTTTATATAAAAAAAATTGAAGAACCACCAAAAAAAAAAAAAAAAACAAGTGACAACAATCTGAAGAATTCCCTAATTTTCTCAACTACCAAAAAACCCAGCTTACATTCCATGTTGTGTAAATCGTTGGTTTGGATTTCGGCCATGTAGGTGCCGTCCTGGGCCGGGAGTGCCGTTGTTAAATTGGTGCAGTTTTCGAAGGATCCATTGCTTTCCGGGGTCATTTTCTGCAAAGATGAATCATATAATTTGAGATTAAAGACTACGCTAAAACAAGTATAAACCGACAACTTACATGTTAAAAAGCCGTGATAAATAAAATACAAATACAATAAATGAGACAAATACAATAGATACAATAGACAATAGAAATTAAATACAAATACAATAAATGAGACAAATACAATAGATACAATAGGCAATAGAAATTAAATACAAATACAATAGATAAATACAATAGATGAGGGGTCAATTAAAAAAGCTTTTTTATTTATTTTTTCATTTTTTACGTTTTTTTGTTACTTTTTTATTTTTTCTTTATCTTATTTTTTCAAAAAATATAATTTTTTGCCTTTTTTATTATTTTTTTGGCTCTTCTTTTTTTTTGATTTTTTGGCCTTTTCATTTTTTGGCTCTTCTTTTTTTTGGCCTTTTCAATTTTTTTTTGGCTCTTCTACTTTTTGCCTTTTAATTGTTTTTTCTCTGTCATCCTTTCGGTGGTGTGTATCGAGAGAGGATCTCTGAAAAATAAAAAATTAACACGTAAAAACACCAGTGACAGCACTATAAAAATATCTCTAAACCCCTTGACAAAGGTGGTCAGTGTTTCCTAAAGCGTATCTGTCCCGGATAATTATTCGAGAGCCGGCTCACATCAACGACGCAACAATTCAAAAAAACAATTCACTTTCACATTTTTTTCAATTTGGCCACATTTTTTTCCACTTGGCCACATTTTTTTCAATTTGGCCACATTTTTTCCCACTTGGCCACATTTTTTTCTATTTGGCCACATTTTTTCCCACTTGGCCACATTTTTTTCAATTTGGCCACATTTTTTCCCACTTGGCCACATTTTTTTCCACTTGGCCACATTTTTTTCAATTTGGCCACATTTTTTTCCACTTGGCCACATTTTTTTCAATTTGGCCACATTTTTTTCAATTTGGCCATATTTTAGCAGAACGCCAAGGTTTTTATTCAATTTGGGGGGTTCAGTCAGGGGGGGTTCCCTCGAACAGGGGTGAGGGGTTCAGTCAGGGGGGGTCCAGTCATTGGGGGGTTCAGTCAGGGGGGTTCAGTCAGGGGGGTTCAGTCATGGGGGGTTCAGTCAGGCATTCGCCAAGATTTTTGGCATTCGGTTTTTTAAGGACCTCTAATGTTTTAGCTGACTGTGCAGTGGGTAATGCACAAAATAACATGAACCTGCAATTAAAACATTGCCAATGACTCATAATTTTTAAATTAGTAAATCTTGGCGCCTTTGGGCCACCGGGTTCGCGGAAAAACGCCAGAGAAAATCGAATTTTTGCGAACTTTGCGGCCCAATAACTTGTCTAAAACTATTGAAGCATGCGATTGCAACGATCTTCAGAATATCGTATTCTAAGATAGCATGCAAAGTTTGAAGCAAATCGGTCAAACAATTAAAAAGTAGATTCGGTTTTAAGTTTTTTACCTTATGGACCATATTACTTTATTCAAGTTTTAATATCCAACAGCGTTAAATAGTCAAATAAATGACCCATATTATCTCATAACATTTTGTAAACGGAGATTGATTGCAAAAATTTCAACTCCCAGGCCGAAAAAAAGTTTTGCCTTATACATAGTAGCATACCTGATCCTATGCCAAAAATAATAGAAGTTTAAGACTGAAGTCAAAGTTTTAAAACCATCTATGTGAATTGAGATAGCTTTCTAAGGCGACGCTCAACTTTTGGAGTTGGTTTCAACCTTGCTGCGCCGATTTCAAAAATGGTCACTATCACCTAAAACAAGGTTCTCACAACAGCTTCCAAAATGGTGCGGATGTCAGTAATTATGCTCTTACTGACTTTTTAGATCAAAGTGGACATAGCTGAGTCAAAATATACCGATTTTTAAAATATTATTTTAGTCACCTACATCGCAGTTTTTTTGGAATTTTAAAAGAACTACTCCAATTATGCTCATAGGAAACCGAATTCAGGCAATTGCTTCGTTATGAAAGGATTTAGCAGCAAAAGATGTCTAAAATAAGGTTTTCAAATCTACTATTTTTTGGTCAGTCCGACTTGTTTCCAGTTTTTAATTTGAGCTACCCTTGCGCATCCTAACAACAGTCAAAATCCCTGGATTCTTGACTGTTCACGTAGTCATTCCAGCGACCTTACGAACGGACTGATATCTTATGAACAATATAAAATTCCACAAAGTCTTTCGCAAGCAAGTACAATACCACTAAATCACTTGCTTCTTGGAGTAAAAGGTGCCTTTTATTACCATTTACCCCTCAAAAGGATCGAATATTACAATACTACTCACTGAAAATACAGTTATATTGTGAACTCAAAAATGATGAAAATTATATTGCACTTGATGGCTAACATAAAAATTACATCCTTAATATAATTAATCGCCAAATCTTGCCTTAAAAACTGATAGACACTTGATTTTACTTTAATTTACTTTATGAAAGCGTTTTGGAGCAAATTCGGGGCAAAAATTATATTATACTTGACATCAGATAGAAATCTGCCATGTATAATATAATCAATATCCCAGTCTAGACATAAAAACATATAAAAGGACATTTAGGCTACTTGCTCACTTCATATTTGCATTTTGAAACTAATTAAAGCCAACAATTATATTACACTTGACATCGAATGTAAAAATGTCACATTTCCCTGCACTACCCATCAAAATGCCATCAATAATACAATTTCCCAACTTCAATCTTAGACCCAAAGCCTTACCCATTTACATAGAACTCCGGCGCATGGGGTCTTGTTGAAGTCGGGGCTGGCTCCTTCGCTCCAATCCACGTTGTACATGCATCTGACGCAAAGAGCTCGCATTTGGGAGATGAATCGCTGAAAAAGCAATGATATTACAATTTAAACTGATTGAATTTTGCCGAAATCTACCGTGGATAACCTCCACATCACAAACTCCCAATTGCTTACCTCTCCAGTCTCGTCTCTGCCCGTTTCGTTGCGAACATTCTCCCGGTGGGAGATCCAGAAGCACATCTGATGGAAGGCCTGTTTGAAGTCGTAGACCTTCATCACCTGGCCATCGCTCAAGGTGTGGCGTTGGGTTCATAGAAAAACTATGCAACCTGAAAAAAATATTTTTTTAAAAAATGGAAATATTGAAAACTGAACTGGACTATCTTATGAACAATACAAAATTACTGACTTTTTAGATCAAAGAGGACCTAGCTGAGTCAAAAAATCTACCGGTTTCTGAACATTCTCTCCCTAAACTTTGATCTAAACACCAAAAACACAAAAGAAACAAAAACTTACTTCATTTTCTATGCTTGGGCCATAAATTCACTGCTGTTCGTACGCCTCAGTGGTACGGGCATTTGACCTGCATGATAAACTCGCGGTTCTAGCCCAGTTCAGCGAAGGATCGGTGGAAATAGAGCATGTAAGAGTCTGAAAAAGAAGAGATAATCCTATTCATGTTAATTTTCAATTGTATAATTACATAATAGAACGAGATGTTACCTAAAACTCAAAAATGTTACCTAAAAAAACACAAAATGTTACCTAAAAACCCTAAACTTAGGAGCTATTAATATTCTTTTGATAAAAGCAACTGAAAGCCAGAAGCAAAATCAATCGAAAAAATCAAGTTTCCGGCCCGTTCTGACCAAACCCATCCACAGCTTGTGCCTAGTACAACATCGTTCAAAATTTCTAAGCATGAGTCTAAACTTCGAAGGAAACAAATATAAAAATACCGCTTACCTCATTTTCTGCCCACCTTTTTCATTCCAGAGGACCCCTGGGCTGATTCAGGGGGTCCATGGTCTTGCCGAGCGCCCGAAAAATTTCCACAGGGCCCCCCGCACGAAGCGGAGGGCCAGGGCGCTCCGGTTTCGACCAAAACATCCAAGGTGAGCACCCTTTTGTGATAGTCCAATGGCCCCCCGGTCTGATTCGGGGGGCCAGGGTGCTCCACCATAGTTTTTAGTCCTTCATGGACTTGTTTGGCACTGGCTGAAAATAAATGATCAGTAAAATTATATTACTTTAGATTAAACCCAACGAAAATCAATTAAAACCCACCAAACTCCGTGAAGTGAGGTAGATCATGAAAAGAACTGAAATTTACACGTGTTTACACGCCATTTTACAGCGAATTATACCACTTTCTTCCATAATATCCCCGCGAAATCCACCAGCGTATAACAAAAACAATGCAAACCTTCTTTTTTCGGGCGCAGTTCGCAAAAATAATTATTTTTTTGGGGAAAAAATCGGAACTTACTTTTTCTCGTGCGGATCAACTGGGCGATCCATGGATGAGTCGAGACGAAAGGATTGGTTTCTCAAGAATGCTCATAAGGATCACCAGTAAGTTCTTCATGTTTTTTTTTGCAAATTCCTAAAAAATAGTGATTATTTGGTGAGTGGCTGCCAAAAACTTACGTAATTAGGAAATTGAATGAGGCAATGGTTGTAGTCGGCGGAGCTGAAGGCGGTGCTCCGCCTTATCCAAGCTGCCAAGGGGCTGGATCATTCGGGGGAACATGAGTCCTTCTGCCTGAAAAAAAAGACATTATTGAGGATTATATTATTTTTATGTCTTTTTTCTTCAAAAAACACCTCAGTTTGGTTTATTTCTAGGGGTTTTGGCCGAAAAAGTAAAAAACAAGATGCGATAAACTTACGAGGTAGTAAGGAGTTTCGCACCGATGCGTAGCTTCTACGCACCATGTCGACGACGAGTCGGGCTGGAGGCTGACGGCTTCGCCTCCTGGGCCGCTCTTCAAACACGACCTCCTCGATGATGGGGCCGAGTTGTTCGACCTCCCTTGATCTTCGGGGAGGCCGAGGACCAACTTGAGGTGCAGGAGGCGGCGGCTGGTAGCAGCACCGCCTCCTGCACTTGGGCATTCTTCGCAGGGGCCCCGGGGCCTCATGTTGTGGTGCTTGGACTTCAGGGCCTTCCAAAGAGACCTGATTCTCGACCGGGGGCGAGACGACTTCCTCTCGAAGCAAGGTGACTTCCGCTGTAGGCTGGACGTCAGGCCGCTGTAGGCTGGACGTCGAGGTCCGCACCAGTGGACTTCTCGAGCGGTCTTTCCTTGGCGGTCGGGCATCGGCTTCGGCGTGACGAAGGATCTCGCTCAGGCGCCTTTTGAGACGATATTTTTCTTCTTTTTCCTTCTCTAATTCGGCCATTGCGTCATCCTTGGCCTTTACGGTTTCTTCGAGCTTTCTTCCAGCCCGGTAATCCTTCGTTTTTAGCTCGTTGATGACCCTCTGTGCCGCTTCCAGGTCGGCTTCAGCCTTTTGGGCTCTTTCCATTTCTGAGAGCCACAAGGCTTCTGTGACTTCCTTTGATTTCCTCAGTTCATCGGCTTGTCTTAAGATCTGCCGGTTTTCTTCGATGAGTTCTGCCAGCTTTTCCTTCAGCTTGGCTTTCTCTTCTTCCACTGGCTCCGGCGTCTTCTCTGCCATCATCGCCTGATACTCTTCAAATTCCTCATACGAGGCAATCGATGGGACTCCGTGGAGCGTCGAATTCCCGGTGCTGTATTCAGGCGACCGGGAATACATCGGGCTGGAGCAAGTCGGACTAGCAATGGTGCTAAGTCCTCCCTCTCCTCCTGGGACGCCGAGGTGATGGCCATCCAGGGGGGAACCCGCAACCGCCGGCTGGTGCTCGGCCTGAACGGTGCGGGCCGGGTTTTGGCCGAAGCCAGAGGTGCCGGATGGAACGCACGGCACCTCTTTTCCTTCCACTGGGACGCCGGATTGGGGCTGGCCATCCAGTGGAAGGACCACAACCGGCGGCAAGACTTCAGCCTGCACGGTGTGGATTTGGCGTCCGCTTGTTGGGCTCGGACGTTGGCCAGAGGCCTGGTCGACGGTGCTGGGAGGCACTGAAATCACCAAAATTAGGCGAAAAATTGGAAAGGTATGGCCGAAAATTCTAAAACTATTGCTAAGGTCCCTATCCTGTCATATTCCCTCATTTTTCCCGATAAAAATTTCGTCCTGCTTCGAAAGTTATGTTTTTGTTTTTTAGCGGAGATCCTGATGTTGACGATCCAAAAATTGATTGAAGTCCACAGTGGCCGAAAACTCCATATTTGACTCAAAATGCTGTGAAGAATTTTCCATTGCTCCAGAAAGAGGTCCAAGAATGCCGAAAAGCCATCCAGTTTGAAATCAAGCGACGAAAACCACATTACCAACAAGAAACCCGAGCTGATTTTTTTCGTTGATGGCGACCAGAGAGCGTATTTTTAGTGGTGATCTTGGAAAAGCGACAGCACAGCGGCTCGAAAGCCAGAACACTGAATGACCCGAAAATCGGATCAAACGACAACGTGGAAAGGGGAGATCCTTCAAAAGGACTCCAGAAGACGAGATGGAACCGAATTAAAGATGGTGGTCCGAACCACTGTAATGATTGGTCCTCGGTTGGTGAAAAGCAGGTGCAGGTGGACAAGTTCTGGGTGATTTGGGACCATTTCGACGTGAAAATCATGGAAAACGGGTATTGGATTGGATTCATGGAGATGAAAATGGTCAGATTGGTATGCGGATGTTCAAAATGAGCTAAAATAAGGTGAGTCCAGGGCTCAAATGGGCGAAAACGTCTAAAATTTCTGTAACTTCTGCTTTCTCCTTGTATCGGTCTTCTAAATGCTTCATTTCAGATATTCATTTATTCTTCAGTCACTTCCAAGGCGATATTGATGTCATGAATAATCTCCAGGCCAAGGAAATTATTTCTGAAGGTTGTTAATCCAAAATTTGTGGCTAACGTTGAAAATTCCGATTGGGGACGGAGTCGTGATGTTAAAATGGATTTGATGGTGAAGGTCTTGATGAAATGGAATGGTTTGATCGTAGAATTAATGTGGTTGAACTGAAGATGGAGTTGATTTGAAGTGATCATGACGAAAGTGGGTGCCTTGGGGTCTCTTTTTATCATCCTGAAGATGAATCTATTGATTGGAATTCGTACCGCGTCATCTCAACTGGTTTCGTTGCTGATGTTGCCTTTGGCAAGTGGGTGAAGTCTCTGAAAAAGTCCACGCGACACGAAACCGCAAATTCGACGAGCCTGAACGACGAGAAGTCACGTCCACCTGGAGAAAATCACAGAACACATCAAGAGGTCTTTCAACAAGATTATGACAAGAAAAACGAGGACAGGTATCAAGAACACCATCAATAACGTCACTCCACGGACGAGACGAGCTCCCCACCCCTTGAAATTACTCTGCTACAACCCTAATCCTAAGTGATGATCGTAGACATGGTCCATTTGACGTTGGTCTTCAGCAATCAGCCCAGTGATTGAATTGGTCCAAAGGAGGAGGTGCAGGAAGTTCATCGTGTCATCAGATGGTGTCTCAAAGTGAAAACCCCGTTATAAATAACAAGAAAGGTCAAATTACATGGATAGTATAAAATGATGTAAGTATTTATTGTTATGATTAATACAATTACAATTTATTAAAGAATGTGAATATCCAATTGTAATGGTTCAAGTTTCAGAGCGCCAACGGAATTTGAAATGGACCTTTGGTAGGGAAGAAGCCATCGAGTTTTGAATCAGAATCCCTGGACGAACTGAAAAGGGCGAAAAAAGTTTTTACCTGATCCACGAAGCAGATTGGAGATGAAGTTGGATGGAAATTGGAGTAAAACAAAACAGTAAGCCACTGTTGGCCAAGAAAATGAATAGTTTAGTCTTTATTTGGGATTTTTGACTCCAAAAATACTCCAAATTACGATGTAAATAAATAATTTATGACGATTACAGTAAAATTATAATAAAAGTAATATTTTAGATGATGTCATGATGAATACTCGCTGGAACTGCCGCAATCGACAAAAATGATCCATCTTCAACCCGGATTAGGGTCTCGGACGGATCCTGGAGGCACATGAAGATGTTTGAAGCCATAGTTTTGATCATTGGACATCAATTCTCACATTCGGATGACAAATTTCTAGAAAATCCGTCAAAAATGTTTTGTGAAAGCAAATTTTTGAGTTAGTTGGAGAGGGAAATTTCTAGAATGAAGATTCTAAAAATTTTGAGTTGATTTTTGGCAGTTTTGACGAAAAAATTAACTAAAATTGACGGATTTCCTAGATTTTTGCCTACCGAACGTTGTCTTGGATCTGAGCTGTGGATGGATTGAAGTGTTGACCACGGATGAACTTCATCGTTTTTGGCGCTCGGAGAGATGTCAGCCCAATCATAATGGGTTTTTCGGGAGGCTGTGGGCTGGGATGTTGATGATCAAAAAGCGAAATTTGAGTGAAGGGGAAATTTGTATCAAAAGCAAGCTCGGAATTTATGGTAGATAATGAGTGATGTTGGCTTTCGTTTTCTTGCCTAAAGGGGTGTCGAAAAGCGAAAGGATTTTTTTCCAATTTTTTTAACAAAAATTAATTGGAATACGTTTTCGGTACGGAATTTTTCACAATTTTGTCTAAAATACAGATATCCATCTTAAAAAATGCCCGAAATTTACCCTTATGATCAAACTTTTGCGCTCTAAGATCTTCTCCATGAGGTCATTGGGGTTCTGAACACTGTAAAACTCGCAAAACCTTGACTTACCGAACTGTCTTGACACAAATGGGGTGGGACCAGATCCATGGCGATGCATCGAGTCATAATACATAAATCAAGGCCAATTTCGGCCGGATTTTACAGTATTCAAATAGCTTTCGGCGGGATTTACAGTATCCCCCACCAGCCAGAATTGCGACCTTTTGTGCAATATAGTGCCTGAATATTACGATTCAAGGCCTAATAGTGTATTTTTAGGGCCATTAGGGCTTTTTATTGTCATTTTTGGCGGGAATTACGGTAGCAACCCACCAGCCAAAAATGAAATTTATGGTTTTACGATCTTCCAGATTGAGCTCGAAATCATCTTCTTGAGCTCTTTTTTTCGAGTTGTTTACTTCAAAATTATGTTGTACTAGACAATTGGCTCGAAGTATTCGTATTTTTTTTATATTTCTGCCCTAAGCTTATATTAGTCATCTTAAGTTAACGTCAATTACAGGATTCAAAATTTGTCATCAAAATATCCAGAATTTTGTGGGATTCTGATGACAATCCCAATTTTTATTTCTTAAAATCCTCAAAAAACCACCAAAAATCCCAAAAAAATCCCACTGAACTTACCCGTCGACCCTACCCCAGCTCCAGCCACCGGGACGGCAGCGGTGGAGGAGGCTGGGGTCTTCGCAGATGCGGGCTGGGTGCGTGAAGACATCTCGGAAGAGTTTCGCTGTACCAGGATAGAGATCAACCGGTGAATGAGAGGAATGCCAACGAAATTTTGGTGAATTTCGATTATGCAAATTTCGAATTTTTGTGCAAATTCGTGGGAAAATTTCACTTTTTTTGGATTTTTCATTCAAATTTGTCAATTTTTTGGAAGGTTTTTTGCCACGTGGCGCGATTTCGCACGTTTTTCGAGAATTTTGAGAGTATCAGGGCGAGTAAGGACAAGGGTTCAGGATTGTATTGGACGTTTCGGGTGAGTTTTTGACAAATTTTTAAATTTTTTTAGCTTTTGATGTATTTTTTGGATTCATGTGGAATTTCAGATTGTTCATTGCGTAACCTGGTGCTCTCAGCATCGGAAGGACGGCCGGAAACCCTCAGGCTTTGGAGATAGAGGACGACAGTTGGTCCGAATCGCCGTAGAAATGAGTTCTGCTGGGCAAAATCGAAAAAGTAAGTTGTGTTTTGAATTTTTTGCATTGTTCGGAATTTAGGCAACTGCATCGGAGTCCCCCCTCCCCGTGAATGTGATGAGAGGCATGTGGTGGCTGAAGCTTTTTAGAGAGGAGCTAGAATCGCCGATATTGATCCCAGCGGACGATTTCAATGATGAGAAAATTAGCGGATCGATGGTGCACTGAAACTGAATGGCCGTTGATTACTTGGAACTGAGAGGTAGGCTTATTTTAGGTCGTATTTTAGCAGATTATGACTGAATTAAGGGGGATTATGACTGAATTTTTAATGGGTGTTATGCTGAGGATTTCTTGAGCATTTTCGGGATAAATTTGGATTCATTTGAAGATTTACTGTAGTTTCAGTGTGTTTCAGGGAAAATCTATTATCCGGGGGCATTTCGTCTTCTAGAACTTTTTTGAAAGCTTTCTTAACCGTAAAATACGGGGTTTGGAATCTGAATTCTTAAACTTTTATGAAGTTTCTGCACTGTTCTGATTAATTTTGCTCATGATTATTATAATTGCCTTATTTAGAGCTCCCCCGATTCATTATGCCACCAGTTTTCCTCGATGGAGATGCGCCTGCGGTCCCAGCTTGCAGTCCAGCTCTTGAATCTTTTCATGGACTCAAATGGGATGATATTTATGGAGATGGAAGATGAAAACAGACGGATATGTAAATAAAATTAGATTTTAATAAAAATAAATTTTGAATACAGTAATTCTACTTATGGATACAATATTACACTTGATTTTGTTGATTTACACTGTTTTGGGTTCCATTTCCTTGAGTTGCTTTTTGATTCTCCGCCTTTTTAGCGTCGCCATTTGTCGAGGGATCATTCGATTTGTAGGCCCACTTCCTTGGCGTTACTTGGGCCGTGAAATTGAAAATGGTGGTCACAATGGCGACGAGGATGGCGGTGGCGACGAATAATGTGGCCCACTGAAGTTTAAAAGGGTTTTTATATGGTTCTAGTCATGATTGAGTGGATTTTGCGCAAAAAAAGCGAAAAAATTATATTGCACTTGCCTCACTCGGTGTTCCATTAGGTGCAAGTCCCGTGACCACGAACGGGATCATTAGAATGCAAAGACTCATGATAAACATGTTCACTGACAGTATGAAAGGCACGAATCTACCACAAATCTGGAAAATCATCAAGTCAAAAAAATGCAAAAAAATCCGTCATGATGAGTGAAAAAATTTGGAAAAAAGACGGTGAATGAAGAGGCAACGTAATTTTCTCTCTAACAGATCCAATCTTTAGCCTTTGCTTTCATTTCTTTGCACAGTGAAAAAAGAAAAAGTCCACTGCACTGTGCAGCGCAAAAATGAACTGCTGATTGCACTGTGCAAAGGAAAGCGTTGGTTCTAAATTTTAGCATAACGTCATGAAGAAGGGGATCAAACCACGCTGTGCATTTTTTGAATTCAAAATTCCGCATGTTCCTACGGAAACGAAAAAATTTAAATTTGATTGCACAGTGCGGTGGGAAAAGAAACAAGGTGAGATTGCACTGTGCAAGGGAAAATTTTTATTTCATCGCACAGTGCAGTTGACCAGGAATTTCAAAACGCACTGTGAGTGTTTTGGGTTTCAATTCAGCACTGCAATTTCGAAAAATTGTTCGAAACGCTGTGCACTGTGCATCCAGAATTAGGCTGAGAATTTGATTGCACCGTGCGAGAAAACAAGAATGGATGAAAAACACATCATCACCTCTCAATATTACAGTGGGGGACTTGATCCAGTGGCAAAAAACGTATCATTTTGCATCCGGGAGGCATCACAAAATGTGGCAAAATGCTTCCCACTCGAAGTGAAAAGACTTCTTTTTGAAGGGCGCGCTCCTTTTCCTCACAAAAAGAGCGGGCGCACATTTTGAAATCTGAGTTTTTTCGCTTGGAGAGGGAGATATTTTGCCACATTTTTTGATACTTCCTGGATGCAAAATGGTACTTTTTTTGCCACTGTATCAGGTCCCTCCACTGTAGAAATTTTGGCCTCGAATCCGCCACGAATTTCCCAGAGATTCGCCCCGATTTCAAACTCCTTACCATTTGCGTGCTCTTGAAGACACCGATGGCATTCAAGCCGCTGGCAACGATCGCGATCGTATAGCAAATCTGCGAAAAGACCTGCTGAGAGCGCGGCAGGTAGGCCAGTAGTACGAACGCCACCACCATGGTGTACTGGGAGAGCGAGGCGAAGATGATGACGACGGCCTTCTCGCTGATCCACGGCACCTTCTCGATGGCCTCGCTGGCGGGGCCCACCAAAAATTTGACAATGATGGCGATTAGGTAGGGGAAGGCGGCCGCCACTCCCGTATTCCGGATGTCAAAGCCTTGAACCTGAAAAATTTGGGTGTATGTTGGAAAGGTTTCGTTGCGGCACACCTCAATGAGATAGGAACGTTTCAAAAAGCTCGAAAAATTTTTGTCCCGATTTGGCCAAAGCAAAATTTGGAATTTTTCTCATCCTCAATTTTTCGAAATTTTCGGACCGCGTTATGCAGAAATGGCCTAGATCTAATAATTCGAATTATTGCCTTTTAAATCTCACCTGATTGAGGTAAACAGGCCCATATTGGAAGAAGAATTGAAGCCCAATATTGGCTCCAAAGTTGGACAACATGATTCCAATTACGGCCGGATCTTTCATGATTTCCAGATAGGGGATGTCCAACTTTTTGTCAACTTCCACCACTTGCACCACTTTGTTCTTTTTAATTGTTTTGAGCTCTTTGGAGCTGACACTCCTGAAAATTTCATTTTTGATTGCGTTTTCTGTTTTTAAATTTTGAATTTACCGCCAACTTTGGCATTGTGTTTTTAGTGTCGGAAATGATGTAAAATAGAGTGGAAACGGTAGAAAGAGGGATTACACGAAATTTTGAGCCTTTTAAAAAGGCACCCCAGTTTCTTAAAACATGAAAACATACAATTTATCTCGAAAAAAATAATTTTTTTCTCAAAAAATATCAAAATTGGCCAAAAATTTTAAGTCAATATCTAAAATTCACCTTGACTCAACTTACTTGTGTATTTCCGGGCTGTCTGTGTAGACGAACCAAAACAAAATGAATAAAATTGCTGTTAGTCCGCCTTGAATGTAATATAAAGAGGGCCAACTCCACGAACTCCCGCACAACACACCGCCCAAGGGCATCGTGAAAACTTGCGCGAATTGGAGGTGAATTGACATCCAGGCAATGTAAGTGCCCGACTTCTTGAGGGTCGACCATTCCGCGACAATCGAGCCGATCGCGGGGAAAGACGTGGCCGTGGCCGAACCCTGAAAGTGATTTGGGTCGGATTAGTGGCAGTAGGGAAATTTTCAGTGCCCATTTTTCATGCAGAATGCTTTTTCAGAGCCTTGGAGATTTTTTTTAATAGTGAAGTTTTGGAATTTCCAAAAATTTTTTGATTGCACAGTGCGAAAAATAAAAAGTAAATTTTTTCGCGTTGTGTGGAAACTCATCTTGAAAAAATTCTTGATTTTTGTCGAATTGGTCCTGAGTCATCGATAACCAGTGAAAATCCCAAAAGAAACTCTTGTAAAATACGATTTCCCAAAGATTTTTTGATTGCACAGTGCGAAAAGTCAAAGTTCGAAATCGCACAGTGCAAAAATCAAAAAAAGATGAGAATGCACAGTGCAGAGGATCTCAGTCTTTTTTTGCATCGTGAAAAAATTTTTGATGATAAACCGCACTGTGTAGAGACTTTTTAATTTCTTGTTCCGCACTGTGTAAGCAAAAGAAATTGCAAAACCAATGTTTGCAAGAAAAATTAATTATTTCCATCGTCTTCCCGTAACCTAATAAGGCCATTTCACACCGACCTGTAGCATTCGGATGATGAATACCGCAAAAAATCCAAGTGGAACGGACGCTGGCAATAATAGCGTAGAGATCGCTGAGATGGCGCCGAAAATTGAAAAAATCAGCCTAAAATACTCAAAAATAGGCCCTTTAGCTCACACTCACTTCATTCCCAACGTCGGAGTGAGATACGCCAACGGAATTGTTCCAATTAATTGGCCAATGGCAACGGCTGCGAAAAGCCAACTCCTCTCGATCTCGTCGTATAAGGACGTTTTTTGATGAGGCTCTGAAAATTTGGTTGATAAAGCTGTTTGATGCAAGCTGAAATATATAGTATTTCTCAGCCATTTTATTCTGCGCCTGTTTAAAATATATATTTTTCAAAAAATTTTTTACATTCATTTTGCAAAAAATTTTTTACATCTATTTTTCAAAAAATTTTTTACATTTATTTTTCAAAAAATTTTTTACAATTATTTTTCAAAAAATTTTTTACATCTATTTTTCAAAAAATTTTTACATTTATTTTTCAAGAAATTTTTTACATCTATTTTTCAAAAAATTTTTTACATCTATTTTTGAAAAAAAATTTTTACATCTACTTTTCAAAAAATTTCTTACATCTATTTTTCAAAAAATTTTTTGTTTTCCACAGTACGTGCGTAAAAAACCCAAGATTTTTTCGTCGCACAGTGCAATTCTAGGTCGCACTCCCAAAAAAATTTCTCGTATAATGGTCCGCACAGTGCACTTTGATATTCCGTATTTTTCATTGCACGGTACGAAAAAAATTCGAATACGATTTCTGCACTGTGCGATGGAGTTTGATCGAAATTTTGGACCGCACAGTGCAGATCAAGGATTAAAGTTTCTGACCTCACCGTTAAGAGCTACTTTTTTCGCAGTATGCTGCAAAAATTTCGTAGTAAAATTTTTTTCGCACTGTGCGGAATGAAATTTTTGGTTTTCAAACTGCACTGTGCATTTCGCGAAATATTAAAATTCAAATTGTGCTCCTGAAATTTTCTCTACACGTTTAATACTGTTCCATACATTCAAAAAATTTTTTTATGACATATAAAACACTACGGTAAAAAAAATTACCTGTATTATTCCAACTGACATCCTCCTCCTTATACATACAAATTACTGTGAAATTCAGTGCCAATGAGTTGCACATGACGGCGGACAAACACAGCGTTCCCAGCAGCATCACAACCCATCGTACTTTGTGGCCGAAGAAGGATTTGGGGGGCTCTTTTGGCTCGGTGACGATGGTTTGAGGCTTCGGCTCTTGCACCGGTTTTATATTTTCAAGGTCCTCTTCAAAGGCTGGGTTCACCTGCATCTTGAAAGGACTGAAATTCGACATTTTATGCTGACTATTTACAATCCATAGGCTAAGTTTTACAACTTGTTTTAATTTAAAAATAACGAGCGAGAAGTGAGTATTGTTTACTGCACGTCAAATGAAAAATACAAAAGGCGAATTTTCTAATTGAAAATTTTGTTTACAAATGAAAAAAATGCCAGACAGGAAATCCGTCTATGGCAGACTTTTGCGTAAGGAAGAGCGTTATATGGAAAGGAAGTGGCCGTTTTATGTTATCGTAGACAAGAGGCATACAGTGAAGACAAAGCCAAATTCTAAGAAAAAAATTTACTCGAAATTTGCCTAAATGTTGCCTGTATAGTGCTTAGATGCCCAACATGCATTCCTTACAGTCTAAGTTTGTAATTTGCAAGTTCAGCTGAGATATTCAACAATCTTTGCTTCGAGATCTATAAAAATGTGAAACGAATCATACGGGACATTTTCAGATGAGGAATTCGTATGTGCCAAAAATATTATACAGAGGCTCTGAATTTTCCTCAAATTATTCCTTGAAACTTTTATATAATAATATTTGCACTTCCCAGCGGCAATTCTAAAATTACCGGTATTAACTTTACTCGTAGATGCTTCGCCGGACATTACATTCTCTGCAAGCCTTTTCACATGACCCTTTGGCCACATGGACCTCTTTCCCTTCAAAGCAACAGCCGAGACACGCAAGAGTCTCCTTTGCAAAAGAGAGCATGGGAAATGAGGAGAGTCGGACAGTCGAAAAGCACATCTTGCTCATCATTTTGTTGGTTAACAGGGGAAGTACTCCAAGTCCGACGCTCAGATTTCCTTTAAATTTTGCACACACGTCGGGCATGGACTAAATATCAATTCCTGACAGTTTTAGCTCGCGCTTTGCCGACGCCGCCGAGATATCGAACGATTTTTGCCGCCGAGAGAGCACGCTAAACGTGGATAGCGGTCAAAGAGAAAAACGCTTTTTGGCCATAACTTTGGCAGTTTCGTGCGGAAAAATTTGATTTTTTGTAGAAGCGTTATCCTTTACGGTAGAAATAGGCATGAAGCTTTTCGTGCCAAAATTCGGCAAAAAGTCCTAAATTTTGGCCGGCTTTCGATCTAAAAATCTCGGCCGTTTCTGCAAAGCGCGAGCTAGGATTCTCGCATATATCTTAGAAAAAATTATTCTAAATTTGTGCCAAGTTTCATCAACATCTGAGCGTCGCACTTGGAGTACTTCCCCTGTAAGTTCGGAAGAATTTTTTTTTTTTTTTGTATTACAAAATGTTGGTTACCTCACTAGTAATTAGGCATGTAATTTGTAAGCCCAAAATCGCAAAAGTTCAAATTTTTTGACAATTTTAGATCGAAAAAGCTTAGCGGTTTCTGGAGAGCAGGGGCGAGGAAACTCGCATATCTACTATAAAATAATGTCCTTAATTTGTACCGAGTTTCATCCGCTTCTGTTTGCTCTGCGTCCAGTAATAAATCTCTGGTCCAATTTGTAACCCAAGTTTAATAAAACTCCAAGACTGCAACGAAAAAGCACACATTTGGCAATAAACCCACTGTAAAACATCAAACATTCCCCGCAATCAATCCAAATATTCAAAATAAAGTTATGATAAATACCACAAGACGACTGTTTATATATCGATGAACGGATTACTGAAATGCGTTCTGATATCACGGTGATCAGTGCTCCCTAGTGCATCATTCACAGCATATGCACACCCAAGGGATATGAATAAAATCATCTTATATTAGTCTTATGTTGTACCTGAAGTTTGATCATATAGTTCTAACAGTAAATATTACACCATCTTCAAAACTATTTTCTGGCACGTAAGCCAACGTAATTTAGATTAGAAAACAATGAAAACGGAGCTAATTTTGATGACTCTGATTATAGTTTGTATTGGAACATCTCCTTGAGACTTCCGGATTCAAAAAGGACCCGAGGAATTGGACACAAAAAATAAGGCCATTTGACCACAAAGAACGGGTAAGTAAAGCTGGAATTTAAGAAATTGATTACTTAATTTTATATGGAAAAGCTTTCAGAGATATTTGAGACTGTCTGGGAACGTAAAAATGAGATTTGCACAGTAAAAGTGGCTCTTGGGGCGAGCTGAGGCAAGTTTGAAACTCTCCGGGCTGGCAGATTTCGATCTGGGTAAAGCTAACAAGGGAAGTCGTTCAGATCGCAAATGAGTTGAGCTGTGGGACCGGTATATTCTGATTCTCCATATTCGAAAACGGTAAGAGCTAAAACAGTTTATCCGTCTGGGCCCTAGTTTTCGAGAAAATCGACCGTAAAGTTTGACCGCAAACCCCGCTAAATAGTCCTCGCTTCAAAAGGCCTTTGTAACAAGAGCCAAATGGCAGAGGGCGAGTGAAAACGCTCTCAAAATTCTTTTGTCCGGGATGCCGGGAAAGGTTCGAGTCCCGCTAGGCTCAAACCCTGATGTATACTACTGCTATAAATTTATAGTAGTTGCAAAGCAAAAAAATTTTTTTCCTTTTACATACTTTGGAGAAAATATTGAAATGCACGCCAAATAAGGATATTTCTGCGCTGAACTCAAAAATGAAGTGTTTATTCTTAAAAAAACTATTTGATCTGAAATTATTGGGGTACACTTCACCACAAAAAACTAAAAAATTTTTATTTTTTTCATTTTCAATATCAAAGCTCTTTGGAAATGGGTTTGAGCCTAGCGGGACTCGAACCTTTCCCGGCATCCCGGACAAAAGAATTTTGAGAGCGTTTTCACTCGCCCTCTGCCATTTGCCTCTTGTTCCAAAGGCCTTTCGGAGCGAGGATTTAGCGGGGTTTGCGGTCAAACTTTACGGTCGATTTTCTCGAAAACTAGGGCCCAGACGGAAAAACTGTTTTAGCTCTTACCGTTTTCGAATATGGAGAATCAGAATATACCGGTCCCATGGCTCAACTCATTTGCGATCTGAACGACTTCCCTTGTAAGTTGGACTATGTTCCGGGAAATTGGATGGACATAAAAATAAGACCAGTTGGGCACAAAAACGGCAAGTAAAGTCGGAATAGGAAGGCTCTCCCGGGCCACGCCAAAACACCTTTGACAATCGTGAAATGGACCGGGTCAGCTGCCGTCGACATTTGCTTACTTTTATGTTTATCTGATTACTAAAAAAAGCTATCAAAAGTCTTCGCCAAATACACCCCTTTTCGCGTTGGCGGAGAATAATTTTTTTTTGAAGAAAACCCGCCCATCTTCTTCTTTCTACTGCACAAAGAATTTTGTAGATTTCTTTGCTGAGCGCCAAGAAATCGACAAAAACTTTACGCGGAATTTCTCTGGACACCCTGTACAATTGAAAAAAATAAAGAGAAATTTTTGTATAATATTTTAATGTACTAATAATAGCCAATGTAAAGCTGGGTCTGTGTTTTATAAGTTCCAGGAAATACAAAGACAAGATGAGTTTTTTATGTTCCTCTACGTGTTCAGAAATGCAATCACTTGAACTCACGCCCCTCAGGACGAGCCTGGAATTCCTTTTTCGGTCTCTAAATTTCGTCATATTTGATGAGGGAACCCCACAAGTACAACAATCAAATTGATAGTCAAATCTCTGCGAACAACCTCATGGAAGGACGAGCTGATATTTTCGACTTTCTTTTTCGAGCCTTTAGAGTTTCATCAAAACCTAGCAATGTTACAGTACAGCAAACAACATTCCCATAAGAAATAAGCTACGAAAGGTACTTCCGCTGCATTATGAAACGTTTCATCGCTAATGCGAATGTTATGAAAAGTCCGGTGCGAACTCATCGGAAGGCAATGGAAACACGTGGGAATGCGGTTTTCAATACGAATTAGGCTCATCCGCACCGAAAGAAACAAAATTAAAAGAAAGTTTCACAATTAGCAGTCCAAAAACTCTCCAAAAAACCACTCTATTAGCTGTTTATAAGGTTAAAATTTGCTTACAAAACTGGAAATGGTTACAAATTTAACTCTAGTTTCTAGCCGAAGCCAACTTTTTCGTCAAGTCAAAGTCAGCCCCAAATTTATGCAGATCCGTTGTGTGCATATTTGGTGGATACTCCGTAATGTTTTTGATGAACCTGAAACAAAGAGCATCCACAGCTCTTCACGGGGCTTTTGGAGACATTAAAACAACAAAAAATCATCTTTCGGGCTTATTTTTGTGCATTTTGGAGATCAGAATGGAGATTAGGGGAAGTCTCGTGGCAATGGCTCTGTAGCCTGCGTGGAAATGACGCTGAGAATACAAATTTGGACCGCAATTTTGCTTTTGAAGAGGAAAAACGGAAGTTTCAAAAAAAATTTTGATGATTACAGAGACCGACCTGATCCAGTGGCAAAAAAACGTACCATTTTGCATCCGGGAAGTATCGAAAAATGTAGCAAAATGCCTCACTGTCCAAGTGAAAAAACTCCGTTTTGAAGGGCGCACTTTCCCTCACAAAAGGAGCTTTTGAAATCGGGGGTTTTTTCACTTGAAGAGGGAGGCATTTTGCCACATTTTTTATACTTCCTGGATGCAAAATGGTATGTTTTTTACCACTATATCAGGTCCCTCACTGTAAATTTGATGTGTGATATTTTTCAATGATTTTTTGGTATTTTAAAGCTTCAAAAAATGGATTTATAACCAAAACTATAACAGCCACATCCCCTTCAAACAAACTATGATTTTATTACCCGAATTATCTTTTTATCACAACGTTAGCTAACAATATATGCACCTGGAAAAGAGGCATGAATAATATAAATAAATATTAAGGAAAGTAGGTTTCAACCAAACTAAGGCGTTCAATGTCGTCCGGATCAATCAGGGGGACTACCTTTTGGCGGAGATGTTGACGGAGTTCGTCTGGGTGAGAGAAAAGGACTTCTTGGATGTCGGATCGCCTGAGGAGGAGCTTCTTGGCATCCGTGAATTTGACTCTGGAAATTATGAAGTCAGAAGCGTGATCAATATCGCGACTTTTCACGGCAATTTGAAAAATTCTTCGTATTTTACCAAAAAAATCAAAAAAATTTTTTTTTCAAAAATTTCCTTACTCTTCATCGGTCAGTAAATAGTCAAGATAAGCCATATAAATGGGCCAGAGAGGGGTTCTGAAGTTATTTGCGACCAACTCCACGTCTTTTATGGTGTCCTGATCCGTAGTTCTAAACAAGTACAATATAAAAAAATACCTCAAAAAAGAAAAACTATCGTATTTCACTTACAAAGCAAGCCCGGTCAGCGTATCCTCTCGGTACTGGGGGTCTTCGAAGAAACGTTCTCGATCACATCCTAAAAAACATTACTTTACGTCATCACCCAAGAATTGCCGCTGCCAATGCCCTAAGGGCCCAAAATTAAAACTAAACATAGAGAAGTACCATCATCTCTCGAGACCTCTCTGTGTTCAATTTCATCCATATCTATCACTCCATTCCCCCAAAACAAATAATTTTTTGAAACCACCCCACCAATTGTCATGGTTAATATAAATTCTTCTCAAATCATAAACACATGATCTTACCTGTAACCAAAACTCTTTCTAACGCATTCTGTAGTTCTTCAGCTTTCTCATCAACCTCTTCTTTGAGTTCAGTGCCTTCCTCTCCATCCACACTCGACCATTCTTCTTTCCTCACCGGCCTTCGAAGACGACCAAAAGATCTGGCCGCAATTTGTCGCCAATAATTCAACGGCAACCATTGTATTATAGAAGGAGACTCATTTTGAAGAAACTGAGCAGCATCAAAAAGTTCACGTGTTTCTTTGGAGTTTTGAATTCGTTTCAAAGCTTGTGGATCGCCTTCCAAGCCAAGTACAATATCAAACTGGATCGAGGTTTTTGGCAAGCTCAGAGCTATGGGTGTGTGTTTTCCGGCGATTGCTTTCTGGGAATGTTGTTGATAAAAGTTGCGGAAGTACCTTTCAGTGGCCCTGAAAACATCAACTCTGAGTCCCACCACGAAAACTTTATTTTCAAAAAATCCCAAAATTTTGGTCCGATTTTCATCTGCACATCAAATTTGACTCAAACTTACAGAAAACTGCTGTAGGACGGATCTGGAAAGTCCGGAAATCCGATTTCTTCTTCCACATCCTCTTCATGTTCAATATCTTCATTGGGTCCGGAGACATTCTTCAAGACTTCAAAAACATTGGTCAACTCGTCTTCAGGGCAATTATGGATTAAACAAGCAATAGCATCCGCCCGCAACTCCTGATCCATTTCAATTTCTCCGTCTTCAATCAACTTTTTGGCCATTTTGTACACAACCGGAAAGTCTCGGGCTTTTTTGGCCAATTCGCGGACATATTGGCGGAGGATTCGGTGGTCTCGCTGAAAATAATACTCTCTTCTTCTGTTTTAATCATTATCAACCTTCTTTTGCATCAAACACCCTATCAAAATCGCAAAATTCAAAAAAATTTCATCTGATGTCAAGTATAATATAATTGCTCACCTTTTCCAATGCCGCAGCAGCACAAGCCGCCAGGGCAGTTGCCGCAGGAGTTGGCAGGTCCAGATGCTTTGCTAGTTCAGCGCACCTCTTGATTTCCTTGTAATTATCGCCAATAGAGACAGTTTCCGTCAGGATGATCTGCTTATCGCAGTAAATAAAAGTGATGGGAGGGCGTTGACTGCCCATTTTGATGCTGGTTCGGACCATTTCTAGGGTCTTCTGTTGATTCAAAATTCTGCGTTGAGCTCTTTTTCCCGACAATAAGCACTGAAGGACCAGATCTGCTCGAATTAAATTTGGATCGGCCAGGTTCGGCTGGGCATTTTCGATGAACTCCTTCGATTTTTCGCACAAAATTTGTTCGAACGTGCTGAAAACAGAATAATGATATTATCCTATCATTATCTTCTTATTTATCCAATAAAATATAATAAAAAATATAATTTTTCCAAAAAATTATCTTATCCACGACATCAACCCCAAAGCTTACCTCTGTTTCAACAAAGACATTTTCGCCGACTCCGCGGTGCCATTCAAATCCACAACCAAGTGGAACGGTGCTCTTAGGTAGGGTTTCGGCTCTGGATTCAAGTCTTGGACCGCTGATTCGATCATCTCATTCAATATCAAGTTCAATATCTGATCTTCAGGGAGGAGATTCTCAAATGCCGCCGAACGAAGTCTGCGGGCTCTGAAGAGCAACTCTCGCCACCATTCAGCAATTCTAGTTGGGTCTGCGGTTTTCTGATGCTAAAAAAATAAAATTTTAAAGATTTTCAAAAATTACTGTTTCGTTACAAATTTTTTACAAAAAATCAACTACAAATAGGCAATAACGTATTTTACCCAAAAATCCAACTACTTCGATCATTTCAAAAAAATATATATTACAATCACGGAACCGATCCAGTGGTGGGGAGGAACTTAGATGTTGGTAGAGAGTTTATGGCTTTGGGTTACTATAGCTATAGGAAATTTGCGAAAAGTCTTGAGGAGGGTTCAAAATGTTGAAGTTTCTTTTGGATCTCTTGTATACAGTGACGGACCTGATCGAGTGGCAAAAAACGTACTATTTTGAATCCGGGAAGTATCAAAAAATGTAGCAAAACGCGTCCCTCTCCAAGTGAAAAAACTCCGATTTGAAGGGCGCCTTTTCCCTCACGAAAGGAGCTTTTGAAATCTGAGTCATTTCACTTGTAGATGGAGGCATTTCGCTGCATTTTTGATGGTTCCCGGAAGCAAAATGGTACGTGTTTTGCCGCTGGCTCAGATCCGCCACTGTATAAAATTGCTTGTAATTATTTGCTTTTGACTTTAACATGCGGAACTCAGAGTTTACTACGCATCTTTCCTATAGAGCTCTGTTTAGTGACTGAAAGCTTTGTATTGCAATTTGCAAATACCGGCGAGGCATTCAAGGACCTTTACAGACCAGAAACCAAGGTAAATGAGGAGAGTTGATCGAAGAAACTTCGATCTTCTCTCAGCCTACCTTGACAACTTGTCTTTCCGACCGATAAAGACACTGTTCAACGTATTTTGAGCAGTCATGATTAGGGACGATTATTCTGTCAAACTCCAGGATTTTTGATACATCAACTCCATTAACATCCTTCACGGACTTCAAAATTTTGAATCCCCCTCAAGACTTCCCTCAATTTTCCCAAAACTAATCTAATCCACAGTAACCCAAGGCCATAAACTCTCTAACAACACCTAGTTCCTCCCCATGCTCCCCCATTTCTCACCGTTTCGCTTGGTTTTTCCACCTTGACAGCTGATTGGATAAATTTTTGACACAATTCAAAGGCCTTCGACTTCTCTCGGCTGGCCGAATGGATTTGGGCAAAGGTGGGGCTTTCCGTTGCCGGCATCTGATTGCATAATTGGACGACTTCGATGAGTCCTGGACCCAGGTTGAACTTTTTCATGGCGTCAGTTAGTTCGGCGCCCCTCACTTCTGACTCATAAAAGCATTCAATGAGACTGTCGTTGGTCAGATACTCCGGTTTCACGGTTTTTACAGCCGACAGTAACTGAAAAAATAGAAATTTCAATACCTCAAGTTTTCGTGTTGGGACTCAGCCAAGTGTAATATGTCCGAATAAAACCTCAACGTCCAACACAAATAACCCCAAAACTTACTGCAAAGTCCTGTTTACAGTTTGCTTTGACCAATTTCATCAGTTCTGCTTGCATTTCTCCTCTTCCATCATCAATGAATTCGATCAGTTCTACCACTCGTTCGAAATTCTCCAAGAGATCAGTGCGGCTCAGCTGAAATCACAAATTTTAGTATAAATTTTCACCATTATATCCTGAGACAATTTCTACACTAGCAAAATCAACTTTCACTTACATGTTTCGTCAAATGTTCCGTCGCTTTCTTAACGTTCCACTGCTTCAATTGGGCAAAATTTAGATGAACCGCTGCTGTGAATCGAACAAAATCCGCGTAGAGGGAAAATTCCCGGCCTAGGTCGGCAATCTCCTGAAAAAATTAAGCAGTTTCAAGCATAAAAATCGTCATTTTTTCTTCGAATTACCATGGATAATATAAAAATTCCTAAAAATTTTATTTATAAATCAAAAACCTTCTATCTAATATAGCACAATGGCCTATAAAACCACCTAAACATTCTACAAATGCCATAAATCATCTTATTCTTACCTCAAATCCATTCTGGATCGCGATTTCAACCAAAGAAATGATGTCATCCGGTAGTCCACTGAGTGTGTCCATAGCGAAGATTCTGGTTTCAAACCACTTCTTCGTCAATTCTACCTCATCAGCTTCCTTCGTGTATAAGAATTCGCCGTATTCATCGAATTTTGGAGGGATCCGATGGCTTTCCGGAGCTTCGAATTCTTCGTCCGTGTTTAGGTAAAATAACTGGTCCGGAGACTCTGTTGGGTCCCTAAAATCGGAAATATCACCAAATTCCGTACCTTAAAACATATTTTAAGCTCTGAAGTTTCAAAAAAAATAAAAAAAAAATGGCAAAAAAGTCCGAAAATCCGATAAATTTTTGAAAAAATCCAAAACTATAAATGTCAAAGTAATCAAAAAACTTCATTTCGTCTACAGAAATACTCAGCACGTCTTACTCATCCATCTAGACCCATTTGCATTCAATTTTCATCTAACTTTGCCTCTATATTACACTTGACATACCTACAACCAAATGACGTCATAAATTTGTCATCACAACATATTTTTTACAAGGGAAGTACCCGAAGTGCGACGCTCAGATTTTTATAAAAAATGGCATAGATGGAGATCAGAATTTTCTTATTCGATTGCGAACATCCTAGCTCGCGCTTTGCAGAATCCTCCGAGAAAGAAGGGCCGGAATATCGAAAAAAATCTTCAAATGCCGAATTTCCCTGCAAATTCTCTTGATCTTGGCATTTCGTCCCAGGAGAAAAATATTTTTTCTCGCAAGAAATTTTTTCTTGGTAATGTTCAAGACCATTTTGTTGCTTTTATGTGGAATATTGTGTGTTATTTTCATTTTTTTACACTCTGGACATGATTCTAGCGCTATTAATTGGATTGTCGCCATCCGAGGGGTAAAATGTTTCGTCCTTTGACGAATTTATACAGTTTTTCCTCTGCTGATGGGCAAACCACTCTAATAGTTGCTTCTACGGCCGTATATGAACATAATCTTAAAGTAAGTGTTACAAAAACTTTATTATTTTTCAGTGAGCAAATTCTCAACAAGAAGAGCGAATGTACACCATCGGAACACTGACGGAACACCTTGGGACCTTTACTTTGTTTTCTGAAATGGCATAAACTGAAAAATAGTGAAAAAATAAAATATTTGTAACACTTACCTTATGACTACGTTCCTACGCGAGCGCAGAACGTTTGCATGTCTCCTAAACAAATTTAAAGCAACTATTAGAGTGGTTTGCCCATCAGCAGAGGAAAAACTGTATAAATTCGTCAAAGGACGAAACATTTTACCCCTCGGATGGCGACAATCCAATTAATAGCGCTAGAATCCTGTCCAGAGTGTAAAAAAGTGAAGATACCACCATATTCCACATGAAAGCAACAAAATAGTCTTGAACATTACCAAGAAAAAATTTCTTGCGAGAATTTCTCCTGGGACGAAATGCCAAGATCAAGAGAATTTGCAGGGAAATTCGTCGGCATTTGAAGATTTTTTTCGATATTCCGGCCCTTCTTTCTCGGAGGATTCTGCAAAGCGCGAGCTAGGATGTTCGCAATCGAATAAGAAAATTCTGATCTCCATCTATGCCAATTTTTATAAAAATCTGAGCGTCGCACTTCGGGTACTTCCCTTGTTAGCCAATTCGTAATATCCTACTCGTTATGCCCTAATAAACTAACTCAAATCAAAAAAATAGCGAAAAAACCAATCATTGCGTATACTGCACTAGTTCTTTTCTTCACTTACATAGCTGGCAAAAACTTGGAATAAAGTCTTGGCTGCGTGCTTTCGGGAATTGCGGCCAACAGCACCAGTAAATAGCCTCTCAACTCCTTTCTATGCCTTTGAAATAAAACTTCTAGGATTTCAAATTCGGTTTCCTCGGCCATCGCAAAGGCGAAGGTGTACAATGTGGAATCTCGATGTCTCAAATAAATTTCCAACGCTTCATCTTCATGTTTCTGGGTGTGTGCCAGTACTTCTATCACAATTTCGGCGTTGTCCACCTGTTGACTCAATATTTCATCCGTCAATTCGCGGGTTTCAATCTCTCTTTTGGCGAGTTGAATCAAAAGTAAATGATGGTTCAAAGTGGCCTTGTTCGTGAAATGCAGACATTCTCTTACCAACCATTCCGTGTCTTGGACATTATGCTGCAATTCACAGAAATTTCGCCTTAATTTTTCGAAAAATACGACTCACCAGGACCTTCAGATGGTCTAATGTAACCTTCTCCCCGCTCTTTTTGAAGTCGCTCCACTGCCGTTTATAAACCAAATCTAGATCGTAGGTGCCATTACTTTGTTTGGCAAGGTCTATGGCCACTTGATATTCGTGTTTCGCCAACTAAAACACAAATTTTTCAAAAATTTCAAAAATTAAAATTTTGATGGTCTAAGATAAGGTCATAATTTTTGGTAGAGTGATTCAACCCAAAAACAACTTTACACAGTCAAAGTATGACTCATAAGGTCTATCTGTTTTAAAAATCAAGATTTTACCTTCAAAGCTTACTGTAATTTCGGACATTATTTTAGCCTGCCTAAAACAAAACTCTTAAAATAAGATAGGTCAAAAATAAAGTATAAAATAAAAAGCGTTGATTACAAAACTATAATCAATGCCTCGTATCTTACCTGAATTTCGATATAATCCGCCAGAGTGATATTTCTCGTTGCATACAGCGCCAGCTGAGCCGATTGTTCCACACCAATCTTTTCGCTCATTTCTTCGTTCGGATTCCCCCCAAAAAACGAAGCAAACATGGCTTTGACCAGCTTCGCGATGAATGCAATGTAGAACCAGAGGAATAATGTGAATTCTACACCAACTCTTTTCTTGTTATTCTCCTTTCTGGCTATTGGAATTGCATCGGTTCGGGCTTCGGTCAAGGCGAAAATAGTCCTGTCCTCAACCAATCTGATATGTTTACAGTAGTCCAAACGATGCAATGGCGGGTCCACAGTGGTCCCGTCAAAGTAATCCGCAGGTTTGGCGCGGGTCATTTGGCCGTTTGAGTGCAAAATTACCACTTCCTGGAAAAAAAATTATATTCATCAGGACAAATTAGCTGATCAAATCACTAAAAAACAATCTTTCATCGAAATCTACTCTAAAATCACTCGTCTTACGTCCTCATCAGTCCATCGGACTTCCATTGGTCTCGCGGTGATGTCATTTTGCTCGGCACTGGCAAATCGTCGAATTCGAAGCGAAGGAAGATCAAACCATATGACGTCACCAATACTAGAAATAGCAATAAGAGTCTTCTGGTCCGGTGAGACTTCCATTGAGGTCATAACTGTTCGTTTATGGGACAGAAATGGAATTTTTTCATGCCAGGCCTTCTGAAAATGTCATGGATAATATAATTTTTAGTCTCAGATCTCTCGAACTGCCTTCCAAACATAAATTCTGGCCTAGCTAGACATATTTGGCAATAAAATCACCAGAAAAGTAAGATAAACTACTCAATCTATCAAAAAATCGTCAAAAGATACCTAAAACAATATAAAACCCCAATTCTCACCTTCACACTTCCTTTCTTCAGGCAGTCTATAAACGGAAAATCATTTAGATGCCGATACACATTCAATCCAAACATTGTGCAGTCCATCTCTTCTTCGCTTTGAAGTCTCCGTTGATATTCCGAGGAGCTGATTATGAGATGAAATTTGGGTATGTAGACAAAATCACAGACCGGAGGTTCATCTAACGCCATCGAGAAGAGTTTATGGTACCCATCACGCCTAAAAATCAACAATCCAAAACAAAAATCCGCTTACCCGACCCGAAACGCGCTGAAAGTTCCATCAATTTGGAGGGTAAACAGATCATCACTGAAATGGGCGTCGTCCTCCAAGCTGATGCTGCGTATCTGTGTGACAATCTGCGAGGAGGAAGAGCCGGCCAAGTTGTCTTCACTGAGCGGAATTTTATACAAAAACATTCCATTGGCTTCGAAGACATCGACAATTGCGTTGGAACGAGTGGCAAAAAGAAGAGACTCGGAGTTGTTGAATTCAATCAGTCGAAACTCGGGGTATGGGTCGAGAAGAACTGAAAAAGAAGTTTCAATAACAAGATAACACCTCATACAAACAACGCTTTCAACACCAATTCCAGGAACGAATAGCAATCTGGAATTTCTGCCACTTTTCCATCAAACATGGAAGATAGATACCGTGAACAATATCGCTTCCAAACTGCCAAAAATCAAAAGCAAAAAGACACAACTTCCTTAAAATATCATAGTATATGCCCTACTTCATATCTGCGTCAATTTTCATACTTATCAAACATTTCCTTCCCGGCTTTCCAACCTTATCTTACACTTGATGTCAGGTATAATTAACTTTGATCAAAAACTATATCCAACATACAAATCGCCTCTCAAAATCCTTCTAAACCTCTCCTAAACTCTCCATTCTTACCTCTGACCTGACTTTTGACCACCAATTTCCCATCCTTGACAAACAATATACTCAATTCTCCATCAGGTGTCAACACAGCAATGTTTTTGCTTTTCCTAAAGACAACCCAAAATACAACTTGAAATCTGAACGTACCTAGAAACAGTAACATTGGTTGAACATCCGAACTTCTTCGTTGTCCAATTATACAACAACGGTAAGAACTTTCCCCTTTCTAACAGCGCTGTAACATCCCATGCCAAAAGCAGTGTCTGTTCGCAATATTCCCCCGAATCAATGCGGGAATATACGGATTCCATGGCTGGAACCGTCTGGAAAAGGTCTGAAATTCAGTGATACACCGTTTCAAACCAAAATAATTGAATTAGACATCAAGATCACGGTGAAGATAAAGAAACCTCAAACTTAATGCATACCAAAGCATAAATAATATAAAAGATCCTCTCTATTTCTTAAAAATCCTGCCTATCACCAGATATCCAAGCTCAACGTCACATTGCCGTCAAAAACATAAAATAATATTTTTCCAAAAAGCGCAAGCTGCGTCCGCAAGAGCAACTTGAAGAGAGAGAAACTCTTGACTCAAGGAGTCAGGCCTCGTCAACTCTTCCTTTTTAATTATACTCGCCTTTTCTGTGTTGACTTTTTGTTGAATAACAACCTCCCGTGCAGTACGTCACTGTGCAATCAATAGAGAATGGTCCCGAATTGTTATTCCTATAAATTCTGTTCGATTTATGAGCCATATGACTAATATTCTGACCCTTTCAACTTGTTTTGATAAAACTGAATGTTTTCGAAAGAGAAGTGCGAGATTTCCAAGATAATTATTGTCCAAACGTTAGAACGATCATATGAAAGGATGCTAAATACTTTTTTCGTTAAAAGTTTTTGGGGAAACTGCGGTTTTCGCTCGGATATTGTTTCAGACCCCTGATTAATCGGGGTTCGCCGAAAATTCGATCAATTACCGGGGTTTTCGTCGATGAGTCGTCTTCAAATGGCTAAAGCAATTTGTCTACTTCCCTTTGCACTTATTTTTAGCAAAGTCAACTGTTTATTTGTCGCGGGAATATCAGTTTTTTCAATGTTTATATCAACTTATAAGATAACAATTTTATCACGTTTTTGTCTCTCCAAACTAATATTGCAAATCTAGATGATTGCCATCGTCTTGGTGGCGCTCTTGGCCTTTGCCAGAGCCGACGATGTGAAGCTTCAATGTTTGCAACCGCCAAAAATTAATTCAGCCCTGCCAGCAGCTATTGCAATTCCGCAGAACTATTCGGTAAGTGTCTATTTTTGATTTGTTTTTGGAGTTTAGGGTATGATCAAGGTCCCTGGGGATTATTGTTCTTAATGCGCGCTATTTATAGGCTATTGTAACGTTTGTTGACTCAACCAAGACTAGTGTCCGATTGGTGGAGAAGGATTTTAATGACGTCTTCTTCTACGAGAAGACTCAGAAGGGCCAAAAGACGACTCGATATGTCGTCAAGGACAATAGCACGTTGATATTTGATGGTAAAATTTACTTTTTTGTTTTTATTTTAGGCCTGATATTATACTGGGTCAAATAATTAAATGTTTGACAAATTTGCTTCCTTTTTGCTGAAATTACGTTTTAATGACCTTGATTGTTCTAGATACCAGCTGTTCTCGTCAATCAATCGACGAATCGAAGAAGCTTTACCCGTTTCCCAAGGTCTTTACCGATACATTCAAAGATCTCTCAACTCTCAGCCAAATCGTAAACAGTGTTTTAACCCAGCAATACGCTCAAGATGGCCTCGTCAATGTGACATCTGTCGATGGATTTACTGCCGTCACTTGGCATGGATGTTTGAATCGGACCGACACGACTGATGCAATTGAAATTGATGTCAATTTTATTGGTGACAAATCAACTCAACCTCCATTTGATGATGGAAACAAGTGGCCACAAGCTCTGAATATTCATTTTCTGAGCTATAATTATACTGGTATGGAATTTTGATGTTTTTTTTTAATTTTAGGTCAAGTATAATATCGGAAGTATTTCAATTTTGCGATTTTGATGTGTGTTTTGGTTTTGTGAGATGGGATATGACGTATAAACGTCGAATTGATCCAATTTTTGAGTTGAAATATTGATTCTGCAAAAATTTTTACTGGTTTTTTTCTAGACGATGGCAAGGGAACGATCACTCCGTCAATCAAAGAAGACATCACAGTCTCCATTTTGGTCTTAAAACCCGTTGACCAGAAGGAAAAAGTCAAAGTTTCGTCAGCCCCCAAAGGAGTCTTCTGTGAAAATTCTCCCAAAGCCGTTTTGCCCTCAGGGCTTCCAACCAAATTCGAAGCCGATCTCACCTACATCGACTCGGAACAGCATGTAGTCAACACCGCCGAACTCATGTACGATCAGCCCAACCGGATCGTGTCATTTGGCCTCGACTTCTCCCAAGATTCGGACATCCCGTATGTCCAGAACACGAATACCTCGGAAGTGAAGGACCTGGGAAAAGCCCGAATCTTCCTGGACTTCAAATCCGGCTTCGAGTATCGGCTGAGCAAGGACGGACGGGTCTGTCGCTCAGTCAGACCCATTGAAAAGTCATGGCAGGCGATTGAGGAGAAGGATGGGAAATTTAATTTAAAGGAGCCAACTACCGTGTTTTTCAATGGATCCGGAGCTGAATTCTACAATTCTGGAGAGGTAAGAGTGTTATTTTTTTATTTTTTTTTTATTTTAGACCCAAACTTTTGTAAACGCATGAAAGTTGGAAAATTTTGAAAATTTCCAAAAAATCGGTCATGCTTACGGAATAAGACGAAATTTGAATTTTGAAATTTTTGAAAAGTCGATTCAACATCTAAAGAAGCGATTTATGAAAATAAAAGTCGAAATTTTTTGAAATTAAAAAAGTCATCATGACGGATTTTTTGGATTTTTTTCAAATTTGAAAGTGATAATTTTAGGTGGTCAGAGGAGGTGTCACATATGACTCATACGTCTCTAGACAACTCAATAATGCCACAAAGGAACAAGTTGTTATCGAATTACTCTACTTCAACAAACAATGGAAACTGGAGTCTGGAGCCGAAAATTTGATCCATTCGATTACTCAGTATCATAAGGTAAGATGCTTTTTGAGTCAAAAATGATGACTTTGGTTTTTTAGAACGCTCAAAACGAAACTGTGAAGACTACCGTAATCCTGTTCAACCAGGTCAAAAATAACACGCTGGTTGGAACTTCATGGTCCAAACACACTGTATTCCCGTGCCTGGCTGATGGAAAATCCGACAATTTCTTTTTCCTAAAATTGGCCAACGGCACGATGAAGGATCTCCAGAATATCGGATACGAAAATGTGGAGAGCGCCCTGGCTGAGGCGGTTGCAAAAACTGCGAATATTAGTGTCCTAAGAATCTCACAATTCCTTCTAAAACAGTTGAACACTCAGTTTATGGCCTGTTTCTTATTGGGAGAGAAGAATCCATTGATTCCGGCGAACACAACGGATCTGGTCGTAAGTTTATTTTTTGGGGGGCCATGGAGAAGATGAGGTGAAATTGAGGGAATTTTTTGTGAATTAAGAGGGAGGAAGTGATTTGGAGGGTAGCTGAAGAGTTTTGGCAGATAATAGACTGATCCAGAGGGCTTGAGTGGAGTTAAAATGGTTGGAATTTAATGGGATTAGAATTTTGCCATGTGCAATATAAAATTTTTTTATTTTTTTATAATTTTTGTTGCAAAAAACAAAAAAAAGGATATTAAATGGTGAGTAAGCTTGAGAATATAAGCCGAGCTTCCACGGTGTCATCAAGTTTAGGTTCATGTTGATTTTCTAGTTTTGTCAAAAAAAATTTGGAAGATAAGTGGACTTTGAAAAACAGGGCTGTAATTCATACTGTATTGTTTTTATCATACAGAAATTTTGATCAAATATTTAATAGGGCTCTAGGCTCTTGTATTTTGAGTTTTATGGAATTTGGGTTACTGTAACAGAAAATATAGCCATTTTTGTAAAAGAATTATTTTGGTCAACATGGATAATATTCTTGTCATTTTTAGATCGAAAAGAACGTTACAGAGGTCCGAAATCTCTTGAATGGCACTTTGAAGACTCAACAGATCAATGTGAACATCGTTTCGGATGATTTGAAAACTCAGGTATAGTAAAAACAAAAAAAAATTTTTTTTTGAGGAAATTGAAAATTTTTTGAATTTTTTGGCAGAAATGGTGACAAATAGTATTTTTAATACCCCTAAAATTCCAGACGATCTCTGTGAATGGGTTCGGCGTTGTCTCGACCACCGACGAACACCCCTTCCCACCTCAATACAACGGATATACGGGTGGATCCATGTTCATCCTGGCCCTCTTCTCCTTCATTTTTGGCGTCGGAATTGCGGTGGGATCCTACGTCTTCTACACGAAGCGACAAGGCATCCGCGGAATCGCGTATCAGGTCTTTGAGTGAGTCTTTGCCATCAGAAATATGTTATCCATGAGACTGTTTTCTCCCCGAAAGTTTTAAGGTTTTTGTTCAGCTTCCAAGGTTGTATAAAGTTGTATTTAGTGTCGAAAACGGATCGTTTCGTCCAATTCTATGTCTATTTATTCCTGCGTCTTCACTATACGAGTCTTGTGATAGATTTTTTATATTAAACATGTTGTTGAGTGGGTTTTGTGGAAAAACGGTGATTTCTCGTCGAAAACTTTTAGTTTTAAGGGAGGTTTGGCTTTTAAATGTTAGTAAATGCTTTGTAGCAGCGAGTACAGTAAAAATTTTATGTAATTTCAGCCAAAAATTTATGTAATTTTGAAGTTTTGACTATTTTTTGACTCTATTTCGACTATTTTTTGGGCGAGAAATTACCGTAAGAATTTGAAATCTCCAAGAGTTTTCTATATGTCTCCTTTATTTATGATACGTCTGAAGTGTTTTTCAACAGGTTCCCTTTGTTTTTCAGTTGTTATTCACAATAAATTTTACCCTAGAATGAAGTGGATTTGATTTGTTTAGAAGATTTTTTGGGGTTTCAAAAGGGAAAAAATTGAGGAAAATGAAATTTGTGGAGGTTTAGATATCAAGAGGAAGTGAAGTAATCAAAAATTTCATTATTTTACGTTTAAAAAAAAAATTTTTGTTTAGTATCAGGTGTAATATACGTATTTGCCTTAAAGTTGGCTTAAATAAAAGGGAAGGCATTCTAAGAAGCCTTGTAAAATTATAGACCGCATTATGCAGAAACAGCCGAAATATGGAGTTTTTAAAAATAAAAAATACCGTTTTCTGGCTAAACGGCTGAAAAATCATGATAAAATGTTTCCTAAATAACTTTTTGTGAGATAAAAATAACCTATGAAAAATTTGATGTCAATTTAACAACAATAATCATAGAAAAATAATGTTGCATTTGCCTTATTCGATGACTTTACAAATTTTCCCTTGGATTTCCCATTTTTAAAAACCGAGACAAAAAGTGTTCCGAATCGGAGTTTCTTGTCCCGCCAATGTTTGCCAGTCATTAATTTTGCGAAAGGCGGGGCTCTAAAGCGACTCCGAGAAAATTGCCATTAATTGTTGGGGGGCCGTTAAATCCGACCCGCTCTAATGGATGATTATTCGATTTTTTCTTCGGGCGAAATGTCAATTTCCACTTGTGGCGCTATTTTTATCCCCACTGTATAATTTGAAGTGAAAATATTGGGTGAAGTTTTAAAATTTTCGATTTGATGATATCGCAGTAGGCAAAAAATTTTTTCAATTTACAAGGGAGGTACTCCAAGTGCGACGCTCAGATTTTGATGAAACTTGGCACAAATTTAGAATAATTTTTTCTAAGATATATGCGAGAATCCTAGCTCGCGCTTTGCAGAAACAGCCGAGATTTTTAGATCGAAAGTCGGCGAAAATTTGACAATTTTTGCCGAATTTCGGCACGAAAAGTTTCATGCCTATTTCTACCGTAAATCATAATGTTTCTACAAAAAATCAAATTTTTCCGCACGGAACTGCCAAAGTTATTGCCAAAAAGCGCTTTTCTCTCTGGCCGCTCTCCACGTTTAGCGCGCTCTCTCGGCGGCAAAAATCTTTCGATATCTCGGCGGCGCCCGCAAAACGCGAGCTAAAACTTTCAGGAATTGATATTTGGTCCATACCCGACATGTGTACAAAATTTAAAGAAAATCTGAGCGTCGCACTTGGAGTACTTCCCCTGTTAGTCGAATTTATAATTCAAACTAATGGTTGATGGTAGGGCAAGGTCTGCATGACCTTTCAAGAGGCTTTCGGAGTAGTTGTTTTTAAATTTTTTTTCAAAAAACGACCTTCAACCGCAATATTCCGATTTTACTGAAATTTTGGAACATGATTCTTTATGAAATTTTTGCCAATTTTAGTTCGTGTTATGCACAAACGACAGAGATATGTCATTCTTTATTCGTAAAAACCATTTTTTTTCATTGGGAATGCAGAAAAGTATCGATCTCACTCGTTTTTCAATCAAAAAATCAATTAATTTAAAAATGTATTGCTACAGAAGCCCTCTCGTATGGTTTCTTAGCCCTTTGCGTCTTCTATCGGCATTACATTGTATGCCATCTATTAGTATACGAAACTGCAGGTGGAGATGGAGTAAGGCAGGATCGAACCTGAGAAGGTTGCTCGAAACGAAAAATGAACTTACGTTTTTGGTCGTAAAATTCACAAAATTTAACGTCTTTTTTCATAAATGGTGAAATAAAGGGTAAAATACGTGGGGACCTATAATTAGTTTATTTTTTACGTTTCTTCTTTATATTAATTCTGAAATATTAATAAAATTGCACGTTTTTCCGGAAAATCTTAGAATTCGCGGTAAAATACCAGGTTAACTTTAATAAAAATCCCCAAAAAAAATTTTACATAGTCTAGTCTCTCTATAACAATATCGAAAATTTGTAAAACTCGGCAAGAAAAAATGAATTTTTAGTCATCAAAAAAATTTTTTGGCCTAAAAAATTGTTGGTTAAATTCAGATCCTTCTGTTAATAAATAAACCCCAATGTCTCCTGTATTTCTCCAACAGTGCTTTTACCGTATTATCAACACATTTCCTTCACGGCCTTTCATTTTCCCGCACCCCAACCGGGGCTATTGTTACCTATGGAGACGACCTTAACCCAGGTCCCTTTTTATGCGAATTACGGCTTTTTTATATGCATATAGATGGGATGCGCAGTGCTTTCATATTTTTTCAGTGTTTGCGGCTTTTTATACTTACTTTTTGCTCGGATTTTAGGGCTGTTTGAAGAGGAATTTTGAGAAAAAATATTGTTTTAGGGTAAATTGATGACAAAACAAGGTAAAAATGGTTTATTTAGTGTCTAGGTGGGCTTGTTTTAATTTTAAATTTTTTGTTTAGAGTCATTGTTATGTTATTTTTCCAAGATAGCCATTTCTTGGCAGTAAAAGTATCAAGTGTAACATAAAATTTTGAAAAATTTGTGGTAAAATAAGGTAATAAAGGGCTTAATTAAAAGCAAAATGCTTTATTTTTAAGTCAAAATTATCTACTTTAACATTTTACATCGCTATCTCGCTGAAAAAACTAATTTTTGCCTAAAAACATCAAGTGTCATATAAAAATTGGATGATTTACCCAAAAAATGGTTTAATTCGTATCTAAACTATATCAGTTTTGATTGTAAATGATTTATTTCGGCAATTTATAGGACTATCTTGACAAAATTATAAATTTTTGACCAAAAATTGGCAAGAGAAAAATAAAAATTTGATGAATTTTAGAACTGTTTTGAACACACGTATTTTACAACTTGACATCATCAAAACATTTGGTAATATTATAAACAGAGCTGCTTTTGAATCTCATCTTCGGCCCTTTCTTTTGCAACTATATCCAGATGGATGTGTAATCTCTCTTTCTTTCGTTATGTCGTTTGTTTATGCGTAAAAACAGACGTTCCTGCGAAAATAAAAAGAAGGCCAAGTCTCTTTCTAATATTATGTTGGCCTATAATATCATTTTTTAATTTATTTTCTAAGTTTCCAATAGTTTTGAATTTTTTTTGAAACTAAGAAGTTTTGATTTTATATCGCTTTTGATGACATTTGCAGAGATTTTTATATAAAAATGTACCAATTTTTTTTATTTTTTATTAAAAAATTTTGCTCACTGATTTGCCCTATACCATACATGAATTTATCAAAATGTCAGTCCATCCTTGGCGGAGAGAACCGAGATATTCAACAATTTTTTGTCGTTGAAAAAGCGCTAAACACGTGGAGTTGGCAGAGAGAAAAACACTTTTTGACCCTTTCTCTGGGAATTTTCCTTGGAAAAAGTTGACTTTTTGTGGAAACTTTTCTCTCTGGTGACAATAAGCCTGAAACTTTTCATACAAAAAATCGCAAAAAATAGCTGGACTTTCACAACTTTCGGACTTAAAAACAGGGGAGGTACCCGAAGTGCGACCTTCAGATTTTGATGAAACTTGGCACGAATTTAGAATAACTTTTTCTAGGATATAAGCGAGAATCCTAGCTCGCGCTTTGCAGAAACAACCGAGATTTTTAGATCGAAAGTCGGCCAAAATTTGAGACTTTTTGCCGAATTTTGGGACGAAAAGCTTTCATGCCGATTTCTTCCATAAAGGGTAAAGTTTCCACAAAATATCAATTTTTTCCGCGCAAAACTAGCGAAGTTATGGCCAAAAATAGTTTTTCTCTTTGACCGCTCTCCACGTTTAGTGTGCTCTTTCGGCGGCAAAGATCGTTCGATATCTCGGCGCACCCGCAAAACGCGAGTTAAAATTTTCAGGTATTGATATTTAGTCCATACCCGACGTGTGTGAAAAATTTTTAAAAAATATGAGCGTCGCACTTGGGGTACTTCCCTTGTTAATATCAGCAATTATTTTATACAGATGTAGGCGTCTTAATTTACTCTATTTTTCGACCTAAAACTCTTAATTTTTTTCAGCAAATTTTAAACTAAACATCTCTTTATAAAATTGTATTCCTAATTTGCACAAAGTGTCATCCAAAACTGAGCACTTCCTTTGGTCATATTACACTTCATCTCCATTTTTGCAAAAAGAATTTTGGCTCAAATTTTAATTTTCTTCAAAAAATTGTTTCGGCTCTCTCAAATTTCCCCACAGGACATGTCCCCTCCCGTTTCGCGCAATGACAAATCGCCCTTGAAAATTGGGTTTTCATTGTCGGGAAAACTGGAGCCAAAATAGGATTTTGGCCCAAAAAACGAGGATTTTTTGACTTTGGAGACATTTTTTGCACTTTCCTCGGGCACGCCATTTATTTTTGGAAGTGGAGCTTCAAAGTTTCTCTGAATTTTGGGAGGGAAATCGTCAAAAATGGGGTAAAGGAGGGCAGATTTTCAAATGAAATCTTGTAATTTTCATGAGTAAAATGGCTGGAAAAAATTATGAAATTTTTTTATGGATAAAGATCTC